CCGGTATTATTGCCCAACAATCACCCGGGACTTGTGTATTCACGAATCATTGAAAACAAAACAAAACAAGCTGAAGCACACACATTTGAACATACACGTACTGTACCTACAAAGAGCGGACTACTACTGTAATACGTCCCAATGAGCCTTGTGTACAGCACCGCCAATGGAGGCAAACGTAATTCATTATACATTGGAGGTCGAAGTGATGCGAAATCGTTGGAGAAATTAGAACGATATGGCATCAGTCACATTTTGTAAGTAAACAAGGTGAAAGTACTTGTTGCCAAGTTGACTGATTAGATGCTGATATATCTTGAAACACCGACATTGGGCTCTTGTATACTTCAAGAAATGTAACGCCGGGTAAAGAAGCTTCTATTCAAGCGGGAGTGCCCAACTTTTTCGAGAAGAAGAATCTGTTTCGGTACCGACGAGTTGCAGTCTATGATGCTCCCACGAGTGCACCTCAGCTCTTGGAGGCGGCCGATTCAGTGGTCAAGTTCATTTCCAATGGTCTTCATCATGGAAGCGTACTAGTGCACTGTCAACATGGCGTTTCTAGATCAACGACCTGTGCATTATTTTATCTAGTACGGTGCGTTGTCAATTGTTGTCGATTTTGTGTTGAGTTCATTTGCTTGCTAATTTGGTGTCAAGCGCTGTTTCTACACGACAAATACAAATACGACAATTTGCAAATGAATTCTTGGCTGTGGAAAAACCTTCAATCCAATCCAATGATTTTTTATACTAAAGAAAAGCGAAAATGTCCCTGACAGATGCCTTGCAAATGATACAGCGTCGCAGACCACAAGCGCAACCGATCCCCGCCTTTATGAAGATATTAGAGCAGTACGCGAAGGTGCATGGAGCTAGTGATCATGACAACTCTCAAAAGCGCGTCTTCCAAAGTCAATCCAGTGCCAATGATAGAAAGCGGCCACGGGTTGGGCCATCCACGGGCCCACCGACTGGTCCGGTTGGGCCACCTCAAACTAGGACTGAGATTGGGCCCTCTTCGTCACAAGCTCATAGTCTAAAGGAGATAGGACCTTCCCTCCCCTCTGATAAGACGATTGGACCATCACCTCCACCTTATCAACAACAAAACAAAGAAATTGGACCCTCACTCCCTCCCAGAAAAGATGACATATCAATTGGGCCATCGCTCCCGCCAGCAAAGGAAGACGAATCAATTGGGCCATCGCTTCCTCTTACAAAAGAAGACAAGTAGATCTGGCAGAAGGACCTCGCTGAAAATTTCTTCATTTCTTCAGTTTAGACAAATTCGCAATATGCGCGGTCGGCTTGTAGTATTATAGTCCTGGAGACGGGTAAGGTAAAGGAAAAATTGCAGAGTTATTAAAAAACACTTATACTTGCACAGTTCGTTGCTAGGTCTGGGCTCCTATTTCTCATTGCAACAAAATAGCAACTAGTATCGAGCTGGTTGGGTTGTGTACAGCACGATATGAGGAAGTTATGCTACGACATGCTCTTTGGACAATCGGTACTACTATGATACGATATGATATACGATACGATATTCGAATATGTGTCCTTGTATGCTATCCCCCGATGTCATTGCCCCTTTGTTTTACCCCTATTTTGAAATTCATTTGACAATGATGAACAACCGTGTAAGTGACTTCCAGTTCATTTTCTTTGTTGCCAGTAGACTGAAGGGTCTTTTCACTTTATCACGACGATGGGTAGGTATAACAATAGAAGAACCCAAGCTGCTGCTGAAGCTCTGAAGAATACGCCATCCAGAGCTCGATTTTCAAAAGGCCCACCGAAGCGACAAAAGAAAAAGAACAACAGAGATACAAGCAATAACACTGATAGCAATGGGAACAATAATGGAGGGAATCAAAAGAATCCTCGTGTTGGTAGACACCCTAATACTGCAGCTACTGCTCGCGTGATTGACAAGATTCAAAATCGACAGCAGGAAGCGTCCCAGAAGACCAAACAACGAGTGGCTACGACCGAAGAAGCTTTGAGTTACATTGATAAGTCTAAATTGGACAAAGTCACTTTGCCTGGTGACATTTTGGAAGTTATAACAAATCTATTGGAAAATTTGGGTGTCAAGGAGTCTGCACGCTCCAAAAGGAAAGATGACCACATCGAATTGGAGAAAGAAATGGAGATGGACCAAGATGTAAACGATCAAGTGCCGATCGACGATGACAACGTGACGGAGGACATTTCAGAAGCACCAGATGCAGAGAGTGAAGAGGTGAATAGACGGCGAAAAGGGGCTGCATCGAATGTTGGATATGCAGAGTACGGCGATGATGTCGAAGAAGAGGCATACTATCAATCTGTGGGACAAATTGGGGGTGGACTCATGGAAGAGGCAGAGTGGGAAGGGGAGGTAAAGGTGACCAGCGATCAAGAGATCTCCAACGAAAGCGAAGTCAAGGAAGACGAGATACCAGAAAGAATACACAAGGAAGCGGCTTTCATCTACCTTACTCAACGGCTGTCATTTTCAAAAACGAATGCATGCCGAGCTTGCTTAGCAATCGAGAATTGGGATATTCACGACGATGATAACAAGAAAGACGACGAAGCAAAGTCAGCACCGAAGAAATCCAATGAAGCAATTTCACTAGCGATGGATTGGCTTTGCCTTCATTTGAGCGAAGCCGAATTATCGAAGGGGTTCCTGACCAATCAAGACACAAACAAATCTAGCTCCACAGTGATGCCGAGTATCAACATCAAAGTAGTCCCACATCCCTCGATTTCAGTCGCTAAATCTATCACATCAGACAAGGAGTGGTCACGAAATGTTCGAATTCAAGAAAAAATATTGAAGTTCGTGAAGATGGGGTTTCATCATTCCGAAGCATCTGGAATCTGCGAAGCAATCAAGGATATAGAAGCGATGTCGAAGATAGATGAATACGCTCTTTTGCTTGAACTTTTGGAATCGTTGGAGGAGAAGGCTTGCGAGGGAAGTAAGTCTGGCCGGAGCAAGGAGCCTTTGAACGCAGCAGATTTGGAGTTTGCGGCTGAGGAGCGCAAACAAGAGATCGAAGTGTTGCAAGCAATTTACGCGGAACAAGTCGATATCATTGCTGGCTATAGGGATAGTGACATTTCTAACTACAGCCTAAAGATTGTACCTGTCGAGGAACTGGAGGAGCCAGCGAAGTCGGAAGACTGTCAACTCGAAGTATTCCCGAGGTCTGGGTATCCTGTTGTTGAAGCTCCGCTACTTCTGTTCTCAAATCCATCTCTACCGCCAACTTTATTGCGGCGAATCAATGATGAAATCGCTCGTAAAGCAGTTTTTGGTGTCGGCGTGCCTGTAGTATACGAGATTGCAAGCTTCCTTGCAGAATCCATTCATGAGATGCAAATTGATTTCATCAAACAGCAGCGGCGGAAGGAGTTTGAAGCAGAACAATTGCGTATTCGAAAGCAAGGCCACGGTGTTATCGCCCAAGCTAGTGAAGTTGAAGTTGAGGGGGGGAAGCTTGGACGAAGACAGAAAGCAAAATTGAGGGCAGCAGAAATGGCATATGACCGAGACGAGCAAATAGAAAAGGAATTTGAAGGGTTCCGTCAACGACAGGAAGAGAGAATACACGAGGCAAAGCATCAAAGTAGCAGGATCCGCAGTGTCATGGCTGAACAAACCCTTGCAGAACGAGAAAAACAGAGAGTTGAAGCAGAGGCAGAACGAGCGGCACGGGCTGCCATGAACGATGCATTCAACCGTGGCGAAAGCGTCTCAGTTGCACGAGAGATGGCAAAGAATGCTAGAATACTCTCACTCAAAGAAAATGGTATAGTCGAAGACGCGAAACTAAGTGCAGAATCTTCACACCATGATGAACAAGCCGAAGAATCTATTGAAGAGGCTCCAAAAGTATCTCAACCTGAGTCGACACCAACGACAGCTGCGTTCATAGATGGTTTAGCCGCTACAGGTGAAAGCACCTATCATGACGAAGGGACACCAATGACCAATGCGTTTATGGATAGATTGCGACAGATGTACGATGACGCAGCGAAGCAAAAGGCGGGAATCAAATCCAGCAAGTCTGATGAAAATGAAGCTATCCAAGTCAACGGTGAAAAAACCAAACTCGAGATGGTTCGGTTAAACAAACCTGAGAGAGACGCTAGCGATAACGAGCTGGTGCACATCCCACGGCCAGTTCCTGTGTTGAGCGGTGAAATGGGGGATATGATGAACGATGTTATTGATCAGCAAAAGAATCAACCATGGCTGGTTTCACCGGAGGCGCGAGTACCGACAATGTCAGATGATAACGGAGCAAAACCAGGGAAACCATCTCAGCGCCAACATAATATCAGTAAGAAGCTTCGGGAAGAACTAGAACGAAAACGTGATCAGGCAGAGCAGTGGGCTGAAAAGAACGTTGGATCTGCGAATAATTCGAAATCTACAGGGAGTCACTTCTATTCACCAAAAAGATTTCACTCCCTGTGGTCCGTTCGTCAAAGGTACGTATTTTGATCGTTGCTATGGGACATCGATGCTGTTCTTTCTAATGAAACATCGTAGGTTGCCTGCATACCAAATGCACCAAGAGATTGTTGCAACCATCAAACACAATCAAATTACAGTTATAGCCGGCGACACAGGTTGCGGTAAGAGAGTCATGTGACATAACATTGCTTCTGTCCAGTCTGCTGCTCACTATTTGTGACTCGCATCCACTATAAAGGCAAAACAACTCAAGTCCCACAGCTTGTGCTCGATGATTTGATTCTGAATGGGCAAGGCGCAAGGTGAGCCATCGGACTCGTTGAAAGTTGATTTGAAAGCCAAATCACTCAAATGCTTTTTTAACTGTGTAGTGCAAATATCATCGTCACACAGCCGCGACGAATTAGTGCCGTGAGTTCCACTCCTTTTGCGCATTGCAAGGTTTTGTTGGGTTTCTTTGCGCTGACAGATTTTATTCGTTTTCTTGGACTAGATCGGGGTTTCGGAGCGCATAGCTGATGAGAGATGTGAAAAAGTTGGCGAATCTTGCGGTTACTCAATCAAGTTGGAGAAGAAACTGTCGAACCGCACCAGGCTGCTTCTGTGTACAACAGGAATCCTGTTGCGAAGGCTACAGTGTGACCCAGACTTAGCTTCTGTCTCACATATTTTTGTTGACGAGGTAAGCTTACGTCAGAATCAAAGTACCGGGTACACCGAACCAGTATCAGCCCATTAATATTTGCTTGTACGTAGGTCCACGAGCGTGACCTTAACACCGATTTCTTGCTGATCATAGTCAAAGATTTGCTGGCGCGTCGAAAGGACCTGAAGCTCATCCTGATGAGTGCAACATTAAACTCTGATGCTTTTGCAAAATACTTCAGCGGTTGCCCTGTGGTATCGATCCCCGGTCGGGCGCACCCTGTACAAGAGTTTCGGCTCGAAGATGTGCTTCAAATGACAGGTCATCAAGTCCAGGAGGGTGGAGATTTTGCGCTACCAGCCAATGACAAGCGGCCACCAAAAGTATCTAAATCTGCTTTGCGAAAGCTTTACTACCCGAAGTACAGCAAAGAGACAATCCACTCGCTGTCGATCATCGACGAGGAGAAAATCAATTATCCATTGCTTGCTGATCTGCTCGAACATATTTCAACGACACAGGAAGAGGGAGCCATTCTGGTTTTCATGCCAGGTAGGTTGAATCATATCCGCTTTTTTGCTCCTTTCCATGCGGATGCTGATCTTTTTTGTATGTCAGGTATGATGGAAATCACGAAAGCTATTGATGAAATGTACAAGAAAGAAATCTTTCAGTCATCAAAAGTTGTAATCTATCCACTCCATTCATCATTGTCTTCCGCTGAGCAGAAAGCAATCTTCGACGTACCGCCCCAAGGTGTGAGGAAAATCGTTGTTTCAACAAGTGAGTATCACCTTTGGTTTCGCAGAATCTTAGACAACAATGTTTCTCAACTTTTTTTCCAAACTTAGATATTGCTGAAACATCTATTACTATAGAAGATGTCGTCTACGTTGTGGACAGTGGCAAACTGAAAGAAAATCGTAGAGACGAAGTCAATGAAACACCGACGCTAGTTGAGTGTTGGGTGAGCCGCGCATCTGCAAAACAGAGGCGAGGGCGTGCTGGTCGAGTTAGGCCCGGAATCGCATATCATCTATTCTCAAGGTAAGATGGTTGAAATCCTTGACTCGAGACCAAAGTTTTTGATCTCATGCCTCCTTTTAGCCATACGCATGACAAGAGTTTAGAAGATTACCAACTTCCAGAAATGTTGCGTGTTGGTATCGAGGATATCGTTCTCCAAATTCTTATTTTAGACCTTGGGGAGCCGACTTCATTCTTGAGCAAAGCCCTAAACCCACCGTCAGATCTTGCAATGTCAAATTCGCTGAACCTTCTAGAGACTCTTGGGGCGGTGGAATGTAGTTGGCAAGAACGATCGGGAACCCGAAGGCCAACAAGCGAGAATGATTCTTCCACTGATAAAAATTGCGGAGATTTGAAGGTTTCGAGTGAGCTAACCGCACTTGGTTTTCACTTGGCAACTCTGCCAGTGGATCCCCGGGTCGGCAAGATGATGATCTATGGGGCTCTCCTTGGATGCACCGATCCTGCATTGACTATCGCAGCATCCATGTCTGCCCGCAGTCCTTTTCTCAGTCCATTCGATCAGCGTGACGCAGCCGACGCTGCAAGAGCAAAGTTCGCAGCTGAGTGCAGTGATCACCTAACGATCCTCAATGCATTCAAAAAATGGAAAGACGTTTTTCGAGAGGAAGGACATAGGGGGGTGAAGTCTTTTCTCAAGGATAACTTTTTGGGTCGTCTCACATTGAATCAAATGGAGGACCAAAGACGTCAATTCGCTGGGTTGCTAAAAGACATCGGGTTCTTGCCGAAATCATTTCAATTGAAGAGTTTGAATAACGTTGAAAACGCAAATTCTGCAAACACTGGGTTGCTAAAGGCAGTTCTTTGTGCTGGACTTTATCCAAACATCATAGTGGCTCCGAGGGAGTTGGCATGCTCGAACTCGAAGAAAGCAGCAGGAGAGCACGCATTCAGAAGCTATTCAAAGGGGGATGTTTATCTCCATCCAAGCAGCATTGCTTTTGGGGAATCCAAACTGGACAGTCGCTACTGTTGCTACCACGAAATGGTCAGGACCTCCAAGACATATGTTCGAGATTGTACAACAGTCAGCATAATGGCACTTTTGCTTTTTGGTGGCAAACTTGAGGTGTATCAAGCACATGGTATCTGCTCCATAGACGGGTGGCTAAAGTTCAAGATTGATGCTAAGCCTGCGACGCTTGTCAAGTACCTTCGGAGTCAGATGGAACGGATTTTGTTGAGGAAAATTCTATCCCCCGAGGAAGATGTCGTTGGAACAGAAGATGGTAAAGCACTGATTAGTTCGATCAGTCTACTTTTTCAGAGAGAAGCCGAAGAAAAGGCTTCAATTCCAGATCGAAGCGGAGGAGAAATAGTGCGGCCATGGACTGGCAGTGATGATAACGAGCGAAACAGAGGAAGCGCTTCTAATGATCGAAGCGGTGCACGAGGAGGACGTGGAGGGAATGGACGCCGCCAAGGTGGGAGATCAGGTGGAGGGTCAGGTGGTAGAGGTGGTGGACGAGGCAGAGGCAGACAGCGGAGAGATTAGTCGAGTTGCTCTATGAGGCTATGCCTCAATTTTTAGCAGGACCGCTGAAATCTGTTCTAGTCGTAGCAGGAAAGATAATCACTAGGCAGCTTGAAGATTATTTAAATTGGTTTCTTCATTTTTTCATCGCTCGATTGTTTCTTAGAGTCGCTTATTCCCTTTATCTTTCTTCCCTCGAAATTCCTTTTTCCTAGCTTTCGCAGCTTCTTCCTCCGTCTCATACTCATGTACAATTACGATTTCCTCTTCAATCACGAGTTCGTTTCCAACAAATTTCTGAACGACTTGTGCAACAACATAGATTGTAACCAAGACGACAAGCAGTGCAACGAAGCGTATCATATTTACCATGACTGCACTAGATGCCGAATCGCTGTCACCAAAGGTTGATGCTATTTTCGACACAGTAGGTTCAATATTCCTTACAAACGATTGCATTTGTCGGACTGTCCATCCAGCCCAGGTTGTTTGCCGCCATTCTTCATGCCGTTCCAGAAGGTCCCGAGTAGATTCTCGCTCAGACTCGACCCTTGCCATTCCCTCCATGTATCCCTCGAAATCCTCTCCTGGATCAACCATCGCATTCTTGTTTTGGGTGTTTTAAATGCGTCTTTTCTCTCAATTCTCGAGTTTGTATTGGTTTTTCTTTGTTTTGCCCTCTAGCAAGATTCTTCCGAGATTCATTATTGAACTGGATAAATGTTCGTTCTCCCCTCCCCTTTTGAAAGCCGGCCAGACCGTCGTGTTCCATCCACAAAAATACCACACCGAAACCAATCCCTCATGACCTACCGGTAGCACCACCCGATCTTCCTGTACTTATTCCAAAGAACCACACTTGAAAATGGAGAAATATTGCCGTGCACAGCATCTAGACATGAGGTGACGACGTTAACGGCATGACACGAAACCAGCGATTTGTGGGATCATGCGTTTGCTTGTAAGTCCTCCTCTTCTTGGATACCTACGCTTTGATGTTTCCACTGAAGATACAACTTGTTATCCCTGTCTGAATCGTATGATTGATAAAAGCAAATACGTAACTTTTCATTTCTTGCTGAGGAAATATTGTTTTTACGAAGGCGCTTTTGAAATTTTGGATCAACAAATGCTTACTTTTCATTCATTCACTACCAGCAGAAGAAAGCGATCGAACCATTGTGTGGATACAATTGCCGTGACGATTGTGCTGGTGCATCAACAGTGATGCATCTCAGCTAATTGTGAGAATCAACTTCAAGTCGACAGTTTGGAAGAACACAAGTTATCAAGTCTGGCCAGATGATTATTCCAAATTTTTTGCTAGAGACTGGTCTCGTCGCCTGACGCTGAAGCAGTTTTACAAGATAGAGGTTAAATATCCATATTGAACCTTGCATTTCTAGGATTCCTACTTCAAAACGTGAGTGGAGGACTCACTCAAGTGCAAGGTTTTCAGGAGTTCGTCCATTTCCAGGCACTGATTGATGATAAAAGAGGAGATTGGAATGAGTGATGAGTCAGTCAGTCAGTCCGTTTTTCAATCCAACAAATTCTATTCCATAGCATGGCGTTTAGATTTAAAAACTAATTGACAAGAGAGATTCTGTATCCTTCATACCTTTGTGCTCTCCTCGACACCTTCGTCAAGACACCCTTTGTTCGAAGAATCACAACTCACTTGTTTAGTGCCTTTCGATTTCGCGCAATAAGATCGCGCGATCATTCCACTTGGAACACATGCCATGATGCCCTATTGCGACATGTTGATGTTGGGTTACTTGACATGCATGCAAAAGTCAATCAAACAATGACTCGTCTTTCAACAATATGCGTTTTTGCTTGCCTGGCAGTGATAGAAGCTCGTCGCTCTTTCACAGACATGCCTGTTATCAAGCAAGCTCGTCAATTGTTAAACTTGAACAGCATTCTTGGAAATCCAACTTCTGCCCAGCCGTACGACCGAATTTTGGGCTCTCCGGTGTTTCAAGTAACTACAGCATGGGGATCTCCATACATGAATATGGAAAAGTTGACTGAGATGGATGGATCCGGTGCAGACGGTAGTGGACTCTTTCAAAAGGATGCTGGGAGTCTGAAATCCATTTCCGAAGAGCAAAACGAGTACCGAACAGTTACCCTTTTCTTCATGGATCCCGACGATGCTTTGGGTGTACATGCTGAGCTGAAGCAAATGGAACAAATGAAGAAATCAGATATTCGTATTACGTCAAATTCACTAGGAAAGGCTTTGAGGGCAGCTGCGAACCTCGGCAACGGTCTTCCAACTGGATACCCAATCGAACCTTTGAACGGAAACCTAAAGCCGGTCGAAGAAGGTGGATCTTTGAGGCACAAAATCATGCCAGACAAGCGCCAACTTTTCTATGCTGCTCGTTGCATAGGTAAGGAGCGAGTTGGTCTGTTTGGGGATAATCCATCGGAGCTTGCTACTATGGCACTTCTGGGAAATTCTGCAATTGAAGCGACAAACCTCATGCGACGACGCGACAAAAGAGAGAGAAAGACCACGCCGCCACCTAAATCTCTATTAGAAGCTCAAAATGCTCACATGGATGGATACGTTGGAATTCCAGTGTTTCATGCCAGCGGAATGGCCCGAAAGATTCCAAAGCTTAAACAAATCAGTAGTGGAAATCGCCAGGAGACTCCCATGTTCTTCAACTACGAAGATCTCCAAGATGCGTGGACCAAGATGAAGAAGAAGAACCCATCAATGCCTGACAAACCAACAGTGGAAGTTTTCAATCTCTTTGACGTCTTGACATCAATGGACAAAGATCAATGGAAAAAGCGTAAAGAAGCTGGAAAATTTGACATCATGGCTCCGTTGCGCCAACGATTCGGAAAGTTGGAAGGACCAGACCTGGATTCAATCACATTTGTTCCGTCAAGCCGAGCCATAGATTACAAGGAAAAGTTATCGGCGAGGGGCAACGGAAAAGCAAGGCTGCGTCCCATGCGATAAGAATGCATAGCTGTTATCAACATCCGCTACAATAATATACGTTGAAACTTTCTCTGCAAATGAAATGGCTAGTTCTTGCTCTCGATGTTTACGTACTATTATACCATTTTAATGCTGGACGCAAATCAATTTCCAAAAAGCACATGAATTTCGATCGTGGTTTCAAAACCTTTGGTGTGTAATATCTAGAGAAAGCATATTACGAGAGAACTACTATCAATGCGGCAGTAGGTTGTGAGAGACTATTAGTTTATCACAAACTATATCCAACGTTGCTTTCTAAATCGTTTTTGCATTCAACTGATGCGTTGAAGGAACAACCAGCAGGGCTACTGCCGCCCAAGATGACGCCAACACTGCAGCGATGGCTGTATCCTCGCTAGCTCTCCTGCCTGCTCTAATATCGGCGAAATCTTGTCTTGAATGGTATGCTACAGACAACAATGACTCATTCCAGTCACCGTGACTGTCCAATCGCATTGTCTTACTGCTCATTCATCAGTTGCCCCACGTGTTGTTGGCTTCTTAATTCACGTAGTCAGCCATGATCACCATATTCATACTCTATTGACTTGTTGTAGGACTTGTATATTGTTATTCCATCCACGACCAATATGGTCAGGAGGACTTCAAGTACTACAGCCATGCTTGGCTCCAGACTCTGCGTGGCTAATTAGTGAGATCGATGTGGGTTTCATCACAAGTGAAAATCGACGAATCCAAATTTTTCGTGGTGTCAAATATTCGTGTGATAAGATACAACCGCTCCCTTTGGCGCACTGTAAATTTGAATTTGGCCAACTCGCTGTCGAAAAGTATGGTTGGTCGCGGGGTTCTATGTTTACGGGACACCACGGGTGCGCGTTGCTTTTCCTAGAGAGGAATTTCAAATTACCAACGGGGCATTGCAATAAAATAAAAAATAACTACCCAATTGATAGCCGTGCTCTCCAAGGAATAGATCGGGCTACCACAGATAGAGGTTGCATTTTCAATATGAAATTTCCTCTTCAGTCACCGACACATACAGAAGTTCTACTGGCGAAGTACAACGTTTAAGAAATCCAGATGAGACCCGCACTCTCGGCTTCTCCTGCGAACTATGCTGGTGTTTACAGCATGAAACATAACAGCACACACGCAAAAGCTAAGGTCCATCTCATCCCCTTTCCAAATTGTTCCCAGACTGTGATTGTTAATGATGGCAAAGTTCCATTCTAGCAACGATTGGCAGTATAGCAAAAACGTATTCTGTTCCCGATACTTGTGTTGCAAGTCCAAAACCGCTGGAAATTTAAAGTTGCATGCTGGCAACCATTGGCAATATAGCAAAAACAATTTCTGTTCCTCATGCGTGTGTTGCCAGAACTCTGAAGTAGAGAAAACCTGAAAAATTCATCCTGAACAGGTATAGGTAGTTCACAAGCTTGGAAACAGGCGTGTTGCATGCAGTGATATTTCGAACAATAGCTCAACTCGTCGAAGTTTGTCGCAACAGCTTCACTCTGTTGATAATCTCAGATTTACCATCATCTTTCCTTCCACTCAATAGCTCTGAAGCTATGATCTTGCACACTTGGTCTATCGTTGCCCGCTTGTTAGGGCTTTCGTTCCAACATCTATTTAAAAGGGAAGATTCGAACGATGCTGGAAAGTCTACTCCACGACATTCTGGACGTTGCCCCCTGCACACTTCCTGAGCAGTCAATTTATTGAGATTTCCCGAGAAGACTTCCCACGCAAAAATTCCAAAGCTAAAGATATCAGTGCTCAAGCCGTACGGGGTACATTGTATGACTTCAGGAGACATGATTCGGAACGTCCCTGTCAGGCCCGTCAGGTGGTACTCCCCTTGATTGACTTGGTCAACTGCCTTCAATTCTCTAGCAAGACCAAAATCAAAGAGTTGCAGTGCCCCATTCCCAGGCCTCTTGGCAGCATTTTCTACCTTAAGGTCACGGAAGACAATTGATTTTGAATGTAGAAAAGAAATTGCCTGAGCAATATCGTACAAGGCGAATAGCCGCTCGGACAAGACTCTTGCCTCTGTCTCTTGTACTTTTGGTGACTTCCAGGGAAATGCAAACGAATTAGATGGAAGTTCCTCTTTCCAGTCTACGATTTGCTGCAACAGAGAATGACTCAGTTTATCCAATACGAGCATGTGATTGGTACCTCCAGGGTTGTCGACGATACCCCGGAGTCGAACTATATTTGGATGTTGAATTGTTTGTAAAAACTTCTGTTCTTTCGCGAGACTCTTGGCAGCTTCCTCTCTCTTATCCGGGTACAAATCTCGCCGTATTTGTTTCACCGCATAGTTGTAGTGTATTGGCGTTGTTGTAGCTTCTGTAGAAACGGTGTCGACAATCTGAGATCGCAATTCGTCACGTTGTCTGATATTTTCTTTGTCATAACCTGAATCGCTTTCTTCTTCAAGTGGAGGGACTTCGAAGTTGTCGAGGGATGACAGCTCGAAACAACTTTGCACCTTGCAACGTATGGAGTCGGATAATCCATCCACATTTTGTTGAATATTCACCAATGGAGGCGAAGAAGTATCACCATCATCTGAAGTTGAAGAGTCCAAACGAATCCCTGTAACTTCAACGACAGTTCCAAATTCACCCATGCCAATGATATTCTCGAGCAGCATCTCGGATGCCATAAATTGAGCAACGGGATGCGGCACGTTCTCTTGAAAATAAACACTGTTGGCATCCACCTCATCCAAGTACTTGACTATTCGCTCCTGCATGACCTCGACACCATCTACCCGGGACCGCCGGTTTCGAGGTCCTTTCTCGTAGTGCTTGAACAGACTACGACCCACCATGATGTGTGAGCTCCTGTCTGTATTGGCGAATGCTTTCAGCTGAGGTTAACAGTGTTGACGGTTAAAAATTTGAAGGTTGATCACCAGCATTCCGGGGATCGCTCTCTTCGCCTCCGTGATGGTTTTCTTCCAAACGAACGATGAGGTGGACAAGTCACAACGGCATGACGTCAGATCGATGATTTGAAAGTGAGTCAGATGAATCCAATTCAAGCCAGCCATCAACTGCACTAATTTTATCGAACCACCAACAACAAACAACAACCAACGCATGATGACAGCCACTACCATACGACCACCTTACATTCTACTGATAGCCTTACTCATCGGTACAGAGACTGATTACTGTCTGGCTCTTGCTAGCAATAACAAGAAGAGGTCACGCAAAAAGGCAGTAGGTCCTTCTCGTGGCTTTGGTGGGATCGTGCTTCCACCAATCGAACAGTCCTATACTGTGGATGACAGTCCTTCCACCAAAGGCCTCCTTGAGTTTTTGGAAGATGAAGAAGTAGAAGGTCTTGATACCTTGGAGATTGGACATTCTCGGAATGGATTGAGGGGAGTTTTCGCCAAGGAATCAATTGAAGAAGGAGAGTACATATGTGCGATTCCATTTGTTTCTACCATTCTAGTTGACGAGACCTTTGTCGATTCCAGCGAGGTCGATTCCGACCTTCGTTCAGCCAATAAGATTGAAAACGCAGTCAAGTTCCACAAAATGATGGAAACGGAAGCAGAGAAGTGGTCAAAGTACTTTGACTGCCTCCCTACGCAAGAAGACGACAACTTTGATGCCACACCAGATTTTTGGTCCGACGAGGATATCAAAACTTTAGAAGTGCCAGTTTTGGTCGAAAACATGCTCCATAGGAAACAAGAGATCGAAAAGGCCTCTAAGGAAACAGGGATTGAGCTGCAGGAACTGCAGCTGGCAGCATGGTTGGTTCAATCCAGAGCATTCACAACCTTGAAAAAAGTGGCAATGTTGGACCCTGATGATCCTGACAATTTGAAAAAAGAAGGCCTTCTACAGAGGACTATACTCATACCATTTATTGACTTTCTGAACCATGCCTCGATGTCGCCCAATGCGGAGATGCAAGTAATTGAAACCAAGGCCTACGAAGAGTCCTTTTATGCTCTCGTAGCAAAGCGGAAAATTGCTAAAGGAAAAGAAGTCCGAATACAGTATGGGACTGGACACGAGACCTCTTTTGACCTTTTCTCCAAGTATGGGTTCTTGCCAGAGGACAATCAATCAAATGATTTTGAATATCTTCGCAGCAGTGAAGTGACTCTGAAAAATCTACAAGACATTGAAAATGTGGGCCAGCAACAAGCTGTGTCTCTACGAAAGTATCTCAAGAATCTCCTCGCCAAGATGTAGGTAGATGAAATATATGCACAATACAATGACTTTGGCTGCGTGCACAGAGATGAGTCTCGATGTATCCACACACATACACACGTGTGACAGTGCCGTCAAGAGGACAGAAGAAGACTGCGAAAACGCTGTTTCAATCCAATGCCATACTGTAGTTGACAAAACAAAATTCATGGTCTATGATGATCTATCTTGATGGTTCTGAGTGAAATATCGGATGTCTACAAGGGAGATGAAATGCATGTACCACTCCGTACCTCCGTTTTTGGCTGCAATTCAGACTACAAAGAACATATAATACATACTGTAGCATTGTGATTTTGAAAACTTAACTTTTGTTTAAAAATCATTTGTTCTCTAACCTCCTATATTTCATACATAGATGGGTCGAAGAATTGATCAAAGACATTCATGCGTTCATTTTCGCCTTCGATATCAATCATGAGCGGTGCTTGGTATTGATCACGCTTTGGAGGCGTCGAGGATGCTCCCAGCGTCGATAAGGACTGACTATCTGACACATTCGCTGTGTAATAGGACCTTGTTGTACCGTTATTGTTATTGTGATCCGGTTCAAAGCCATGTCTTGGTTCCCATTTGCGATTGGCGGCACTGGCGGCGTGTTTCATGGTTTCGTGCCAACCTCGTGGCCGCGAAAGACTGGAACTCTTGGATGAAACAGAGTGGCTACTGGTGGCCACTGACTGTTGTGAGCTCATCGCCATTTGTTGTTGTTGCAGCCTAACTTTGGCTTGTCCAGGCCGTCTGGAACGCGTTGATGCCGTACTGCTTGTTTTGTGACTGACAACCGTGTTGTAATCCGACATGGTATCGCTTCGAGCTGGGCTGTACTTTGGACTACCATTTCTCATTGGGCTGTAAACGACTTGTGACGAGAGGTCGTAGACTTCAGATTCGTTCAATCTCTTTCTCTCATTACTTCGTGGACTAAGTGGGCTACCGGTAGTTCTACTTATTGGGCTGTTGCTAGCACTGCTTCGTGATGGACTGTAGGAAACCTGTGACGAGAACGCATAGGCATCAAAATCACTCAATTTCTTGGTCCTGCTGCGAGATGTCTGTATACTTGGTGGACTTTGGCTAGAAGACGTGGGTTTGCCTCCATTCGATGGGGGAAGGATGGCCATGATGATCAACGGAAGCTATAAAAGGATGAGAGGATTTATTTGTTGTACAAGCTCTCCATATGCAATAATCAGTCCTTCCGGTTTGAAGACCGACGGGAACTCGAAACACAAAAATGGCGGGTTGTCTCCCTTCACGGGACTTGGAGCGAGTTCGGCACGAATTATAAATTTCAATCGAATGAGTCAATCATTGCTAATTTGCGTTCCATCCGTTAGAATCGAATGAATCAAAGGGATCTGGCCGGGTATTGCCTTGACCTGCCCGTCCCGACCCCACATCCATCTTCGTGGTGGTGGATACTAAGTCACCATCAGCCCGTAACAACAAGTATACATTTGATCTTGACAAGCATTGTCCTAGTCAAAAATTGAGATTAGGAGCTCGCTTGTGTGAAGATTATTGGTGTCATTGAAGATTCAATTCTAGGTTGCTTTGCTCGAGTGTAAAGAAGTACTCAGCCATACCAGGCAGGTAGGTAATTCCCACAAGCTGTAGATAATAGGCCATCATATCTATCTGGGCCAAGACGACCCAAGGCGAGTCGAATAATTCACCGATAACAGTAGAATAATGCAATGATCCTCTTCTTAGTATCAGCATGCGCTTCTTCCGGCACGGCGGTGGATGTTATGTTGCAGCATGAACTACTTTTCTCCTGATTCTGGTGGGGGTGAGGGACAAGAGTCAAGTCAGTCTATCATACTGATACTGTACATGCTGAACTGCCACTGGGGTATCTAATACAGTACCCACATTGTGGTAGTGCTAGTAGATCGGTTTCCTTTTGAGGAACAGGCGCCATCTGGTATAGCAGGAAGAACACGGTCCGTTCGAAACCAAGCCAAAATGAACCAATGAGAATGAAGCAAAATGGATTCCGATTTGATTTTGGACTTTCGAAAATCTGGTCATTGCTTGAAAAAACTACAAACACAGTAGATACTTTCGTTATTGACACAACGGGGCTGTTCTCGTTCTCGTTGCTTGCTGCTGCTGTCTGTTTGCACTGGAACAGTGTACACCTTCTGCTAACAAGAGCAAGAAGAACAGCAAAAAGCAAAAGATCATTCCGTACTATCCAGCCAGCACATCCCGACCATTCTTGTTTCCACCATGAACTTTTTTTTGCCAAGCTTCTTTGATCAAATCAACAAAATGCCGAGACACATTTTGCCAGGTGTGGACGGGGACGTCCTTCATGATGATACTGCCTTCGTGTCTACAGCACTGCTGACCCTATTGGTCTTAATGACTACGCTGGAAGCCGTTGTGTTGATTGTCTGCACAGTCTACGGTTGGTTCAAGTTTCCTTTTTCTGATTTCCGATGGATTGACGAAGAAGAAGAGAACGACGACATGTTGACGGCAGGTGTTGATGCGTCTGGAAAGGCCGGCAAAGAGGTGGACCGCCACGTTCAAATAGCCGATTCGCTAATGGAAAAAGTCGTTTCGGATTTGCACGGGCAACAGGAATGTCCAATTTGCTTGAATGAATTCCAATGCAATGAAGTCGTCGTAACACCCAAAAGGGAATGTGGACACGCATTTCACAACAAATGCCTGCATCGATGGCTCATGGCTCAATCTAGCTGCCCCTGTTGTCGAGAGAAATTGCTAGAGGCACCAGTTTGCGAAAGGAAGCATACGCACCTCCAGCACCACCATTCGGATGAAAATCATTTGTCGTCCAGCATGGTCACGTCGTCGACCAATGACGGGAGTATTCCAATGTCGATGGCAATGCCATGGACGACTCCTGAAGCGAGACCGTCTTATGTTCCAATAGAAGAAGCTTGGGGATTTTGCCTCTTTTTGTTTTGAAACGAGTGATTGGAGACATGACAAATGATGACATGACTTTGGACTGAAAAAAAGTCATCAAATCAAATCTTCACAATGTCAAATTTCCATTGGCGCAGCGGTTTCAAGGTAGCAAACAAAAAACAAAATGCAATAGCACATCCAACGAGATGAATGCATGAAAAAAATCTATGCAATGCCAAATGAATCACTTGGGGTGCTTGATCATTTTCCATTGCATACAGTACAAAACGAAACTCGTTTGACACTCTCCAGTGGAGAGAAATCCATAATTTTGAGCAGCACGGGTGCTGCAAATAGAACTAATATTATCATTGCAATAAAACCAGCATACACTATACATACATTGGTAGCCTTAGCATTGGTATTATTTGTTTACATGATAGATTAAAATTACAATTAAAATACAGATAGATGTTGCATCTCGTTGCAGGCATACTATGAAAGCTCCAATTCCCAATCATCGCCAGGCGCAGGAATTCGAGACATCACACGAACCTTATGGTAACGATAACCCCATGAACGGACCTTCTTTTGGTCCAAACCCAGTCGCCACGACAAGGCCATGATCGAGATATCACCATTCAAAAAGTCCAACTTGGTCAATTCTTGAAAGAATTGCTCGTCGGTGTCAGTCATGCTACGATTCTTGGGTGGGATTGGTGGTGGCTCTCCAGCCAATACAGACCCATCCAACACCAAATACTCTTGGGTCAGTGTCAAGACACGATGGGAGAGCAACCAAACCGTCATTGCATAGAGAAACTCTTCAAGTTCGTCCACCCATCGATGCCTGGGTCGTTTGGGTTGCTGTTGTTGATTTGGCCCACCACTGGACTGCCTTGCCTGGTTATCAGGTGTATAAGTCATGGCAACATTTGTAGCATTGGTCGTTTCTAGAATGGACTTGAAAGGTGGCCAGCATTCACGCAACCATGCCGCTTGATCATCGCCAAGATCGGTCATTTGTTCCATGGCTTCTCCCAACGTCTGGGAGGAGGTCAAGAACCCCAGCAAACGAAAAAAATTGACATTGGAAAACGTTTGCGAGAATTCCAATGCGAGTTGGGGAATCTTTTCCACGTGCAAACAATTCAACCGCGACTTTCTAGAGACAATCGGGGAAGGCACACAGGCTCCATGAGCCACCAAGTACGAAGCAATTTCCATGGTTGTGTAAAGCGGTAAATTTGCATCTACAGCAATTTCGGATAGCGACTTTTGTGGATTCACAGTTTTCAATAGCTGCTGTAGGCGTTGTGGGGCAGCGGATCCCGAGGATTGAAAGGTTCGCAATAATTCAGAAGGGGATGCATGGGGGAACAGCAACGTAAAGTAAGGCCGAAGCGAGCTTTGTGAGGTTCGTATCGAAGCAGCTTCAATGGGAACAGCAATGTGCGAATTGATATGAACTACACCATCTCGTTCACAAAGCAGCGCAGCTGCAGTTGGGGGATACTCGTAGTCATTCCGCGATAACGAATGAAACACCTGAACGAGTTCTCGAACCAGATTTCCATTGTGCTGACGAGAACTGTCATCAACCAGATAATCAGTTCCATGCTGAAATGCTGCTAACATGAGCTCCAGTATATCTTGCTCATTTCCTTGCTCTTCCTTCATGGTTGGCGTCGATTTTGAATGTAGAAGAATCTCGTCTCCTATTGATTGTTGCCTGGAATGTCGTGACCTTCTTGGTCTTCCAGTTTGAGTTGTACTGCTAGATATAACTGATGAGGATGCACTTGCTGGATTATTGGATCCCTGTTGCGTCGAAATGGAAGAATTAGCAACAACTTTTTGTAGCTCCCACTTCTTTTGTTGCTCGCTTCGAATCTTTAGAAACACATTGGCTTGCTCAGATACGTAATGGCATCTCTTTTCCTCACGTTCCAGCACACGGCATAGTCGAGCGAGTGAAATATGAACGCGGCGTATTGATAAGGAAGCACTTGATGTACTTCGAACCTCTTCTCGAATATCACCACTTGATCCCCTTTTGGTTTCGGAAGCGGTTGCTTCCTTCAGAAACTGATGAAGATCAAGATGATCCTCAAAAGTTCCTTCATGCCAAGTAAATGGAACAGAAGTGTGGCTCACTGGTAATAGGAGAGCAACAATCACACTAAACAGTATCAGTTCATTTGTGGATTCCGTAGTCGATGATTCTTCGTCGTCCTCCTCATCATCAGCATCCATCAAGACCGCACGCCAGCAGAATACTGTGCCATTCACAGTAAGAGTCACCGGTTGTCCACAGAGGCTCTTCTTTGCTCGAAATAGCTTCGCCATTTGAGAAGAAGTGAGAGAAAAGAAAAGATCGTCAGCAGATTGATCCTCATGTCCATGGTGATTGTCCTGATCTATTGGATCCACTGGAACGGGGGATGGCTGAGTTGGATATCGAGCTACCATCTGTGCACCCACTCCTCTCCTATCTACAATCATTGCTATTCCTGCTATCCGGAAAGGATTGTCACTGTTCAACCTGGGCGTCTTCTGCATCGTCAATTGTCGTCGGTGCAGTTCTCTTTCTATTTGGACGTTTGCACTTGTAATACAGTTAGTATAGGTTTTGTAGGTTTTTGTTTCTGGATTTCAAGTCATATTAGTCGACTGGTCCATCACACAACATGTACGGCATGTATGAACAATCGGAGAACACAATCATGAAATGAAACATGCAGCTCGGTGTTGCCGAGCATTTGCAAGATGCGGACTCTTTCTCCTTACCACACTGATTGTGTTGCACTCCGTCTTCTCCATATCTCTGCAAAGCAGAATGATCAACTCGGCTGTGTCGTCATCATCAGAAAACAACAGTCAAAGCAACCAACCGAAATTGCGGTCTCAGGTGAAGTTTCATCCCGGTCAGAACTCAGTGATGTACTTTTTCGATTCTAAAACTATCGATCCAGAGGTAGACGACGTTTTTTGGATCGTAAAATGGATCAACAAGAAATTATTTGCAGGGGATAAATGCAACTATCTTATTCGACGGATCGAGGAACGGAAATCACGAGGGCTGGTCAACCCGAAAGTCCTGGTGGTTGATCGCGGGGACAGTAGCTCCTTTCACAAGACTGGATGCCCAGAACGAATTTCAGCACTGATTGGACGACAAAATCATTACTTAGCAGTGCGAAACTTGGTGCAGAATCGGAATTATGGCTGCCTAAGCATGACCCAACCAACATGTTTCGACGACAACAAACCCTTTAGAGATCTGTATGGTGAACCTTGGGACTATTCACAGCTACCGTTTGCAAAGCACATCCGGAATGGGTGTATTGCCAAAGTTGACTTTCCAGTTCGAGAATCTCTGCAATCAAGGATCCAAGATCGTTTGGACCAGTTGAAGGCAAGCACTCTTAGTGACATTCAAACGAAAGACGTTGGACACTTTTGGAAGATCGAACGCAACGATAAATATGGGCAGCTACGAAATCGTGTCACCGAAGCGATCCAAGATCTTATCGAAAACTCTGACATCACCGGTACTGCAGGATTGGTTAGCAATCGTGGGAAAGTTGGAAGAATTTCCGTAGCTGACAAGTACGTTGATGGTCTAATTGGACACAAGATCATTGTTGTGGCTCAGCGAGACCATTGGGAAGGACATCTAAGATTGATGGAAGCTTTGATTTCAGGAGCATTAGTCATGACAGATCCCGTCATGCATCTTCCCGCAGGATACACCAATGGTGTGAACATTGTGGTTTATGACAGCCTTGCTGATCTTAAAGAAAAGATTAAGTATTACTTATCTCCCGAGGGTTCGGTACTGCGAAAAAAAATCGCTCAGCAGGGGAAACAGCTGGCATTGGAGCATCACAAGCCGGAGGATATGTATCGACGCCTTATCTTTGGGCACTGGCCCAGAAACTGGTCATCCCCAGTTATCAATCTCATCTGACAAGTGAGATAAGTCCTAACATTCGCATCACTGAGGACAAAGAAAGAATCAGATACTGCAGGAAAACACATCAAGATGGCAAACATAAGTCGCATCCCCGAAGCTCGAGACAAAAATAGAACGCCAACTGGCTGTTGTTCAGAAGCAAATCACCAATCATAATTTACCAAAGAGTCCACTGGCAAAGGGACATGGCCTTTCTTTGTGTCTGCAAGTGTCGATCAGACGGGGAAAGAATGACTTAATCACTTTGATGATTGCTATTGTCGTGGGGCATGCAACGTTGCGACCGTTTCATCAACAGAGACTCAAGATTCAACTTACTGCTGGCAAACAAGCTTCCTCAAAATAGTCCAACATATCGATCAAAGGTGCAAACAGTAGCCTTTCGAACACTGTAGATAATAGAGGGGTCTGTACCCAAGGAGAAGAACAGCAAAATCCGCAAGAGTTAGGACAAGCTTCGAAGGATCAAAGTGACTTATAAGGCATTTGTATCGATCTGAGTTAAACCCAAGAGTCCACTGGCAAAGGGACGGGCCTTTCTACACGTCTGCATGTTTCGATCCGACGGGGAAAGAATAGGATCGTCACTTCGATGCGAAATCAAGAAGCAGTTCGCTCTGCTATCTACTCACCATTTTTAATGCACAACTCCGTTAATCATTCAAAGAATTCAAAAATTTCATGAGGTTCGATTTCGGTGGTGCCTTTTTCTTTTTCTTTTGCCGCTCTATATGGATCAGACGGTTCGTAGGTTTTGATGCATCTGGTGGCAGTGCCACAAAGTCCGAAGTGGGAGTTGTAATAGGCGTTACCTCTTCCGTCTGTACCGCATTCCGGGAAGTGGCTATAGCCGAGAGACTTTTGGAGCTAGGTAAATCTCGTTTCAGGCCTTTGCAACGAACAGAAGATCTGCACCGACCACAGGTAATCACTAGATGATGGCGATCGAAAACCACACTCGCATCATCTTTGAAAATGACCACCTTGGTGCCTGTTTTGGGAAGCGAATCGACATTCTTCAGTGCATTCAAGCCTTTCTTCTGTTTTTGCTTCGAAATTGCCACTTTCCGTTTCACTCTTTGTTCTCGTCGACGACGGGTTCGGTTCTTTTCACTCTTCTTGCCGCTGGCTAGACGTATGGTCGTACCCATATATCCAGGGTGAATAATAAAGCCACACGTTTTGCAGCCATATACAATCGGTTGACGAGGCTCAACCGAGTGATCATCCCAGATCTGATCGAGCATCCATTGAGCTATTCCCCACCCAATAGACGCATCACATTCAGACGACAATTGCAGAGCAGACTCTCGGTAATGCCGTCTTAACTCTGAGTGCTTCTCATCTTGCCTCTCTTGAGGTTCGTCCATGCCTTGCCATGAAGACTCTGATGAAAGCCCTTTAGAACCAACCAATTTGTGAGATTGATGCTTTTTAGTTTTTCGGCATAAAAAGTGTCGGGTGCTGGCAAGACGTCCAGAATTTTTTCACCACATCCAAACGAAGTTGAAAGCAAGTACCAGAATACATCGTACCAGGTACACGTGTACACGTACCGATACGAATAGGATACTGGTAGGTATTTATTGTACGTACAAGAGCTATGGGACAGTAAAAAAAAAAGAATATGGAGACTCATTCTGGTTTTATCCTACCGGTGCCCTTACCCGTCATATCTCCTGTCACTTTCTTCATCTAAGTTTAGGATTTCATTTATTGATTGATTGTGCAATGCTCTAGCAATGGCTTCGGCCAGGAAGGGTGCAACATTTAGTTGCCGAATCTTGGGTGGGAGAATTGAATCGTTTGCAACGGAATTGGAGATGAGGAGATAGTCCAAGTGTTCTATCTCTGCAATCCGTTGAGGAGCGTCTGACAGTGACCTGGGTCCGAAAACCCCATGGGAAGCCCATGCATGAATTGTTGCAGCCCCTGCCTTGTGCAGTTCATCCACATTTGAAATAAGAGTCTTTCCTGTGTTCACGATATCATCCACCATAATGCACCTTTGCCCTTCTATTTTTCCGACAACATGTGGAGTATAGTATTTTTCACCACGCTTTTGCCTATTCTTTGAAATGAAAGCGAGTTCAATCTTCTTTCCACTCAAACGCTGGAGGACATCACGGAAATGAGCAGCGCGGCCTACTTGTCCCTCGTGTGAAGCCACAACGGTAATGTTGGGGTAGTATTCGTCATCCTCAGACTCTGGTTTCCAGTCTTCTGGTGTTGGCACACTGGCCAACTCTTCATGGAAGTAAGCAGCGGCCACTGGAATCGGGAGTAAATGCTATAACAACGACATCGAGAGAGAGTGTGTGTGTGTGTGTCAGAGTCAGTCAGCAGGAGCTGTCTAGAGTCATAGTCGAGCATCCAGTCCAACTTACATCCACTGGAGTTGACGGTGAGAAAAAGCCACAAAGCGAATCGTTGTGAAGGTCCATGCACATGAGTCTATCGACTCCCATATTTTGCAAAAGTATGGCAATATCAGCTGCAGCAATGGGTTCTCGCTTCACTTTTCGATCCTGCCTACTGTATCCATAATAAGGAATAACAGCAGTGATATGTTTGGCTTGGGCCTTGCGGAAGGCAGAAATCATAAGCAGAAGCTCCATAAGGGCATCATTACTCGAGGTTGTGCAAACGATGAAAACGTATTTGCCTCTGACACTTTCCCCAGCTTCAACCCTAGTTTCCCCATCCGTAAATTTGCCAACCTCAACCTTGTTGAGGTCCATTCCCAGTAGATGCGCAACGTCCCCGCCCAATTCCTCCGAAGACGGAGCGGTAAAGAGCATGAATTTCCTTGCTATTCTAGATTTGATTTGTGGAGTTCGGTAGAAATACATCTTGTTCGTCGTGACAGTTTCTTGAACGGCTGGTGAGGAAGTAGAGATGATGCCGGGAGTAGGAACAGAGGTTCCTCCAAAGGGGTCCTCGCTTTCTTCTTTAGCAGCATAAGCAGATTCAAAAGAGTTCTCGAATGCTCGGACCCCTCTGCTGAATGCAGAAGAAGTATCACTGATTTCTTCGCGATCTCTCTTGTACGGCACTCGTTCTATATACAATTTCTCAATTTCATCGAGTCCTTCTTTGCTTTCACTGCCCGCCAATGGGTCAGAGCTGCTACCGAAGACAGGCAAGCTTGATTCTTCTTGTTCGCATTCAGTAGATACCGGCACAGCGGATAAAGCGCCCGTCGCAAGAAAGAGACTTGCAGCTCCAGCCATCGCAGCGGACGACCATGTAAAGTTTTGCTCTTTTCCAAAGGTTTCAACTGTGGATAGTGCGCGAAAGGCTGGTGGGTGAACCCTCTTCCTCATAGCCCTCGCAATGCTCATCGATGCCCTGGATAGCATGATCGCAGATGATGTCGATGTCAACGTCAACCGTGCTGTTGGCTGTTGCACCGCTCGTGTTCGTTGATGGCCCGTTGTCAAGGTTTCGTAGAGCAGCTTATTTTTGCATTCCCATCTTTGGGTTATGAGCACCGTTGGCTCGTAGTTTTAGTCGAATGAGTCCACCAAAGAGACAACACAGGAAAGATTATGATCATTGCATTGCATTATTGGACAACAACACGGTGAACGGTGACGATGGTACTGTACTCTGAACCTCAACGTGTCAGAAACTGACGTCGTGTCCGTTGATTTCAGTAGAATGGTCCACGATGCAGGTATGATCCACGATCTCACCACGGAGCAATCGGAGATGAAAACCAAAAAATGTCTCACCTATTGATTGCTAGACGTTGATGCTACAATTTGGAAAATCCAGGATCCACGATACTCCTATCAACGATTCACCTTGTTCTTTTGACTTTCCATCATAACGACTGTTGCTATAGCGGTTCTACTCTTTAAAATGAAAGTGAACGCTGACGGTGAAAGTATGGATGAATTTTTTGTGAACTCGATTCAACACAGTGCCACGCGCTCAAACCAGGCTATCGGTAAAGCAACAGTATCGTTGCGCAATCGAAGGAATCTTGCTACCTCGAGTCCTTCAGCCGAGTCTACTATCCCAAGCGATGCACCGTCATCGATGCCATCCATAGTGCCATCGGAGAATCCTAGTTCGCTTCCATCTCGAGATCCGAGTGTGATGCCTTCGGCAATGCCCTCTGTGGAACCTAGCCTACGACCGTCTGTGCGACCCTCACTACAACCATCAATGAACCCGTCTAATATACCTTCCCTTGTACCATCTGAGGCACCATCAACTTCACCCAGTTACGAACCGAGGACTGTGGTTCGTCCCTACAACCTTGCACACGATAAATGGGCACTGGCAGCTGTCATTGGTGGAACATTGGCGGTTGTGGTGTCGATTGCCTGTTATCTTTATTGGTTCCGATGCCGTCGCCAGGTTGGAATTGTCCGACACAGGCCCGATGCCCTGACTACCAAAGATGCACAGAAACGACAGGATCGAAGCAGTATTGTACCTCCCCGTAGCGTTGATTCAAATCGGCAATCTCTTGCTGATACCTCGAGTGGAGATCCGATTCTTCTTCGTTTGCCAACTCGATCTGGAGAAAAAAGACAGCATGGACGTCCTGTTGGTCAAATTGATAGTATTGATGAGAACAGCCTGTATACTTCCACTTACTCGACGAGAAAGGAACCTTCTGTTTCGCTTCATTCAAGACAATCGCATATTTCTCAACCCGGCAGTGATTCACTGACACTTGAAGTTGCTGCGCTCTTTCCATCATCAAATCATTCAAGAAGCGAGTCTCGTCACAGTTCTGTCACATCGGCATCGCGCTCGAGCAAACCACACTTGAAGGAGCTAAGAGGAATCGGACCCCTCAGTCTTGACAGTCCACAGAAGTACTCCTCTATTGCTCAGGCGAAACGACTACCAACAGCACAACATCGAAACCAGCGAAAGGGAAGAGTGGCTTTTGGTCAAGATACTGCATTCACTGCTGAAGGCTCCATGTCATCACGTAGGTCATATGCTTCAAGGTCCCAACGTTCGTATTCATCTCACAGCGCAACAGCAAGATCGCACAAGCGACCAGAACGCCTTCTTGACAGTGTCCATCGTCGCCAAGATTCACTGGGCAACTATTCTAAATCTTCTCACAACAGTTCGAGTCGGTTTGGACGAGAGAACAGTTCCATCCACAAGAGCGTCGATGGAACTGAATCGAGCCTCGTGGTGTCCCACATTTCAGACAAGGATTTTCTAGCAGATATGCAAAGCCTCGATAGCAATGAATCACCGTCTTCCGCCTCTGGCCGATCTTTTTCGTCAAGGTCTTCAAGACGAAAAGGTGGACCTCTTGCTGACTTTTTGGAATCTATGATGAAGTCAAGCTCCCACTATCGAAGAACAATTCCTCAAGTGACACCAGAAGAGGGAGAATTTTTGCCCGACAACGATGGGGCATCTAGCAAGAAAATAATTCGATGCACCTCTCTTCCCCCTTCTAAGCGTTCCACTTCTCGTACAGGAAGAGGGGGCAACGAAGATGCTTTCAGCGAATCTTCTAGTGATATGACAGAAAATGAAAGATACCACGACCAGAGAAGTCCAAGAAAGGTATTCACTCATGAGAACATCCAAGAAAAAGGTCCTGTTGTACGCAAAGTCACTCCACCGAGCTCTGCATCTAGTGACTCCAGTTACAGAGATTTGGGCCTGTTGCAAGTCGCAGACTTTGACTATTCGAACAATGGGCAGAAATGGGAGAAGGCTGAAAGTGTGGTTGACTTTTCAGGAGACAATGCGTCTCAATCATCCCACTCTTCTGAAAAGTCGCCTGGTAATGACTGGCTCTTTGACGCTGTGGAACAGGCTTTGGGTCCGAGATCAATGAGTGCCGACATGGAATCGCTTGGAGGCAAATCATCCTCCGCTCGATCCCGTAGTCGTGAAAGATCTCGTTGCCGAAGCTCTTCTCTAGATGCACGCTCTAGAACCCCTAGAGCTTTGGAGCAGGAAAAGGAGAGATTGGAGATTCAGTTGGCGTCATTGGAGGGCGAGCAAATGTCTGTGACGTCCTTTGTGGCATCCAGTGCTGCTATGAGCTTCTCGACGATGGGTTCTAGAAGTCTTCAGCCGAAGGTTAGTAGCAAGAAGCGAATTGTTGTGGTCGTGCCACCTGGAAGGCTAGGTGTAGTTCTAGCGAACCGTAATAGTGGCAAGGGAACGATCGTCGCCGAGGTCCGAAAATCCAGTGTGCTCTACGGAATGATCTCGCAAGGAGATCGAATGGTGGCTATTGATGGAGAAGATGTCACTGCAATGACAATGGGTGAGATCACGGCCATTATGATGGAGAAGTCAGACCATGACCGACGACTGACGCTGTTGACTTCGGTCGACAAAACAAGCAAGCAGTACAGGCAGCCATAGAATGAAAACCCCCCTATATTCAAACTTTGCACGAGTACATATTGCAATCTTAGAACACCATAAGAGTGATATTGAGGTTATGATTTTAACACTACATGAGTTAGTCACATCCATATGCAACACTGCAGCTTTGCTTTTAAAACATTCCGACTGTACTATCGTCTATTTGTAATCTGGTTGTCCCTCCTAGAGCCCCTTGTGAAGATTTGTGCCGAAAAACGCCCCGTCCAGGTGGTCCACCCGAGTTAGATAGAGCATCTCGTTGGATTCGATACTTGGTGTCTTGTGTTGGCCGACGAATGGGTGCGCCCCGCAAGGAATCAGTTCCTGAATGCGCGCGCTGTATAGAGCGGCCAGAAGCATTGCGGCCTAGTGTACCTCTTGGCAAACCGCCCGACTTTGACCTTGACATTCCGCGAGAATTCGGAGCACTTCGACCAGACAACTGTCGCACCATACTCCGACTCATAGCCGAGCGTCTCATGCTTTCGCACAGCTTTTCCATGGCTTCATTGACATTTCCAGGTGGTTCTCCTCCTGTCGATCCTTGCCCACTTGATGCTTGACCTCCTCCTTGTAATGAAGCAGCCATTGCAGCCAGCGAAGTCCCAGCCTGCGGTTGCTTTTCGTGCCGCCGTTCTTGCTGTGGCTCCATGAAATTACCTCTAAACCCAACGGAACGTGGTACTACTGGCGCTGAGAAGGAACGATCAGGCGCTCGACGATTCATTCCACTGCTGGGATTCATCATTCCTTGTAATCCAAATGGGGACTGTTGGTTTTGCGACTGATTCATGTTGTTCATGTTATTCATCGCGTTCATGTTATTCATATTGCTCATATTGTTCATAGCACTCATATTTCCCATGTTGTTCAAATGATTCTGTGGCATGTTCATAGCTGACATTCCATTTTGTGGGGCGCTATTCTGAGCATCCACATGAGATGACTGCATCTCCAGCCGGTTCGACTGAAACTGAACATGTTGGATCTGACTCTGAACTTGCTGAATTTGTTGTTGAAGTTTTTGCATCTTCATAGTGACAACTTCCTGAGACTCCTGAACTTGCATACCGTTTGTATCATTAAGAGGCATAAACGAGTCTGCACCTCCGTTGTGTCGATTGTGCATAAGCTGATGTTGAGGCATTTGCATATTGCTGTTCATACTGCTCATACTGCTATTCATATTGTTCATGCTGTTGTTCATATTGTTCATGTTATTGTTTGTGCTGTTCATGCTGGTGTTCATACTGTTGTTCATGCTATTGTTCATGTTGTTGTCTTGGTTGAAACCACTGAAGCTGTTCTGTTGATGTTGTTGCGGTTGCTTTTGAAACAGGTTTTGTTGTTGTTGCATAGTACCCTGCATCTTTATTTGTGATCCCATGTTGCTGCTGTTGTTATTGTCGAAAGAGGATAGATTGGAGCTATTGGGCATGGTGGGGTTGTTGGGCATGGAAAGAGGTCTTCCACCTTCGATCCCTCCTGATGACCCTGCAGCATTCGAAAGACCGAATTCTCCACTGTCATCATCATCCAAGATAGGATCCGCAAGCAATGCTGAGGCATCAAAGCCACTTCCATCATCACTACCGCCTTCGAGGAAGTCAAGGTCGTCATCCTCCATCAAGGACATCTTCTTTTCATTAAGGGCAACGAGATCAGCAGTTCAGTATGTACGGTACCGGTAGGTCGAGACAGGTGACTCCAGAGTCTCCAGAAAAAAGTCTATTCGTGATCTGTCAGTGTTTCTTCAAGGGAAATCTCCCAACTCGAATGGATCGTACAAACAGGTACTTCCATACGCAAGATTTCTCCTTGGGACATTTGACGGGAGAATTGCGGCTGAATCCACGCTTCCATTTAGTTCTCTTGTTTCGGTACTCTCACTACCGTAGCGGGTTCCTGGCAGACCTACGCCGGCATGCGATGTTGTGAACTCAGAACGATCAGTGCACATGTAACTCACAAAATTACTAAAACACCGGTACCACACTTTGCTTGATTGCATCCCATGCAATAAGGAGAACACCATTGCCATCAACAGTTATCTATATCATCAGCAAACACTTTGTTTAGATCGTTAGGTATCGAGTGCTTCTATGAAAGTCAACAACGATTGATTCACTGCATCAAATTCCACAGTGTTTGTTGTTTATGCGTTCATTAGCTTGGAAATGGCAGTCTCGGCGAGCTTGGACAAGAGTTCTTGCAAATCTTGAGGTTTGAAAGCCTCGTAAATATCATAAGAGTCATCGGCAACGAGGACGGTCAAATCCAAGGCATGTTGATACCAGTGACCGGGCGACATGGCCTCGTTTCTCAACAAATTCAAGATTTCCTTGCGCGTCAAACCCACAGAAGCCGACTCGTCCAAACTCTTGATCAGCCAGAGGGCCGTTTCCTCACAAAGCGAATGGTACCATTGAACTGCCAAGACAAGATAGCGAGATCGGATGGTCTCGAGTTCTCGTTGTCGCTTGACATCCTCTGGGCCGTTCGCTTGCTCGTCAAGCGCCAACCAACCACCAGGATGCGTTAGAACTTTCTTCAAAACCTTTCTCGCTTGTTCAGCATTTTGTACGACAACTCTACAGCTCTCACGCTTGTTGCGGACAAATTCCTTCACGCGGTGTTGTTCTGCAATGGATTTCTCAGTAGGATTCAAACGGGCCATGTTCACTTCTGGCGATGCTCTACCAGTCGTCGCAGAAGCTGATGCCAACATGTCCTTCCACTTGTTGAAGCTTTGATAGGCTTTCAAGTATTCCAAAATGGCATAGTGCTCCGTGACAGCATTTTCAACTTGACGGGTATATTCTTCTTCAGAAATTGTATCTTGTTGCGGTCTTGTCGTTCCAGCTTTATCGACCAAATCTCCTGGAAGGTAGTCTTGGACGAACAGCATGGCGACTTCCATCTTGTCATCCTCATGATCCAAAAAGAATCCTCGAAGAAGAATGTTGGCACAAATCAAGGCATCTCCGAGATGACTTTCTTTCTGCAACAACCAACCAATGGAGTGGCATTCACGTTCGTCCTCCTCCGACGTATTTTGTTCCAGTGCTGCTGGTTTTCGAATGGACAATCGGACGACCTTTCGAAGCAGGTGAATCTCCAATTCAGGGAACAGCTCTTGAATCTGATCCAAGATTTCTTGACGGTCGCCCTCGTCATGCATCTTAGCCAAAATAGTGGGAAAGAATTCGAGGATTTGATGTTCCGGCATGAAACTAATGTACACCGTCAGCAATTGCCAGAGATCGGGTCGAGACGCCATGTACTGCACATATTTGAATACCAGTTCATTCTTGATGGCTGAAATACCGTGCAAGGTAATGGGAGTAATTCCCACTTGGAGAGAATCCAAATACAAGAGCAAATGAGTCAAGAACCTCAAATTTTGCACAGCTGTTTCTGTCGTCAGATCCGCCGGAAGGGAGGCGGTTTCGCCTTGGCAAAAGTTGAGAATGCCCGATTTGCCCACCATAAAAGCTGCCATACAAGCTTGCAACTTGGAAACCCCCCATGACTGGGCAGAGGAACTACTTTGTAGTTGTTGAACGACTTGGGCTTCGGACATGCCCACCAACCCAGAAGTCATGAGCAACTGTTCGGTTTCATGCTTGGCAAATTCGGTTCCTGGATAAGGAAGGGAATCGGCCGCACTGTTCCGTCTGTGATCATTGTGCCAGTGCAGGAGTTCATCTTCCATTCGTCCCCAGACTCCAAACCAAAGAGCATAGAGTGAGGAGAACCATGACTTTTGAAAGCATGGGTTCTGCAGACACGCACTGGTATCATTAGCAAGAAGACTGCAAATGGCAGCTCCTTCGGGAGAAGAATTGGGGTCGGACGAAAAAGAGGCAGTAGTAGATGCAGAGGTTGCCATTTGGTGACGTCCTGCCTTCCACATTTGCCGTTTCCAAAGCGCCCGATTTGGATTCCCAATCGTTTCCAATCGAACTGTCTTGGTGTCTTCGTCCGTAACAGCATTGTATCCATGGGGTTCTCCACCACTCCAGCTGGCAGCTCTCCATGATTGTCCATGTGATCGTGTCAGCTCCAGAGCATCTTCCATCTTTCCAGCCATTATGAGCGAGAGCGATGCATCCAAAAGAGCCTTGTCCTGCTTTGGGTTATTCTGAAGGGTCGTCGAAATCTCTGCCATGAGGTCCGGAATGGTAGTCGCATTTGATTTTCCAAAGACTGATGAGACTGGTCTCGGCGCTGGAAGGACAACTTGATCCAGACATTCTTCCATCCACAAAAGCAATTGATATTTGCGCCGAAGTACCAGCGGCACAGTCGAACTCCCAGTCAATTCTTGTATCAATTCGTGTGGCGTCTTTTCGACTTGCGAGGCCAACTGTTGAAGATAAACAGTTTGTGCCGCTGTGTGTTGACTCGCCGAAACACTGTCATTGTCCCAAATGAGTGCCGATTGCCCCAATCTTCGTAAGCGTGCCAGCAATATCCAGCAATTCCCCTCTTCAAAATTTTCGGTAGAAAATCCAATGCTAGCCAATGAATTGAGCCAATCTACTTCGGCCCTGGTTTCTTGAGAGGCCAACGAGGAAGACGAAAGAGCGGTAATAGCAGTGGACCCGCCGGGTGCACCCAAGGCTTGTGCTTGTTGTTCCAAACCCATCCGATGGTCCAATGAACGTTTAGCCTTGACAAAGTTGTACAACGTATCATGATGTCTTTTGAAGACATGATAGGACGATGTTGCTAACACGGCCGGACTACCGCTGAATGTCGAGCGAAAGGGAGATGATCGTTGTTGGAGTGTCAAGGCACCTGCAGCAGGCTTGAATGGTGTTTGGACTGGTGGCATGGGAACATCTTCATTATCATCATCGTCATCTTCTATCACCAATTGGCGACTAGAAGATGATAAGCCAAGGGAAAAGGGCAGTCTGGGATCTCTCTTTTCCTTTTGAGACGAATTGGACATGACGGGTGTTTCCGCTCGTTCCAGTATGGAAGTCCGGCCCTTTCTTCGAGTGGCTGGTGTCTTGACGGGTGTGACAGGATTGTCATCGTCATCGTCATCATCTACATCCATAACGCCACCACCATCTGCAATGCGTGCAGTTCTCTTGTTGGTGCCTGTGGTGCTTTCACCGCCTTCCTTCATTTCTTGAGTCCACCAATCCATGGCATCCATTTCATAGAATCTGGCAGCAGGACTTGCTGGCGAGGCTCTGCCTTGTGGCACATGAACGGGTTTTCCCAATTGCGGTGAAGTGAATTGTTCTAGTTGAGCCGAAATATTGGCGTAGGCCTTGGCCGTTACATCGTCATCTTCGTCAATATCCATGCCAGCAAAATTTATATTTCAAATCCACTGGATTGGCACGGCTTTGGACTTTTCGTTGCTGGTCTTTTTTGCCACGTAAAATGAGCCCTTTGCTTTCCTTAAGGTCAAAAGTAGTAAATTATTCTTTATTTCGGCAATTGGAAACGAACCAACGTCAACGCCGCCTTTCTAGTGGGGTGTACCTGGTACCGGTACGTATCGTTTGTTTGTTTGTTTGTTGTTTGTGCAATGCTCCACCATCAAGCGGCCAATCCCAATCATGTCCGACCGTCGTGCGGAAACAACAAACAAATTGAAATGAAATCATCGGCCGGCCCGGGAACGGAACGGACTGGTTCGATTACTTCGAGTCTTGTGAAATTTTGTACGGCACAACGTGGTACAAAAACTCCGTGGGGATGACTTTTTCGTTGTCAAGCGGAAGGAACAACGAAAAAAGAACTGGCATCTCCTTCTTGTTGAAAGAACGTGTGTTTGCGGTGTTGTACCAGGTACACTCCATTTCTTGCCGCAATTAGTGTATTCTATTATTGTGATCAATCCTTTTTTTGGTAATATCCTCGATCATCACGCAAGCGAGAAACCTGCACCTTATCGAAAAACGCAACAAAACGACAACCACATACACTTGACGTGACACATCCAATCACAACTATTTTCAAAACGAAATTCGGTCGCCGAAAAGCAACCGAAAGAACGGACCCTTCAGCAGCAGCAAGTTATAATAACACTGGAATAGAAAGATTGCAATGAAGACATCAGGGAAAGCGCCATCGAGCATGTCCTCATGGCTACTCCTGACTACATGCTTGCTTCTATTTGCCGGAAGCTCATTTGTCGAAGCCACTATTACCGTCGTAAGCACTCAGCAAAAGTTTCCTAGTGAGCCTGTCAAGGGAATTGGAAGGCACATGTGGAAGGGATACGAATATATTGGGCGTCTTCAATATTTTCCGCATCATTTGGATTTGTGTGAAATTACCGAGCCCGTGACTATTACTGTTCCGCAGGACAGTGTTCCAGGTAGGTTCTATTAGAGTGTGTGTTTGGGTGTTGCCTTTGTTGTGGAGAATGGATGGATGGACGACTTTGACTTTGCCTTTGCTCACAAATTGTTTCTCGTTTCACAGTTGCTCTCTTGGCATCCGCTGGAGGTTGTACCAAAGAAGAACAAGCTCAGATTGCCTCCACAATGATCAAGCCCCAAAATGTTGTGAATTACTTGATTTTAGAGGATTCGGGGAAAAAGAGAAGAGCAACTACCCTAGGACACGAGGAGGAAGACGACACCAAGGATGATGGTATTCTCACTGTTGAGGACGACGTGGAAGTTGGTGACGAAGATGAAGACTTGCTATTCAATCTATGGAATCAAAGGGTTCTGCAGGATGATGGCATCAAAGTTGCTGTTTTAAAGGTTAATCGAAAGACATACGACCGATTGCTGACCCTTACCGCAATGGAATCCCAAGTTGATCGAGAAAACGGAGGAACCAAAATTATCATGAACTCCAAGGTTCCAAATGCAACAGCAAGGAGTATTTTGGCATGGGCAACTATTTCTTTGGCATTCTGCTGTTGTTCTTGCTTTTGTGTCAGCCTCGCATACCAACATGGAGTCTTCACGGTCGAAACCGAACAAGAAGCTCCGCCTCCTCGACCGATCCGACGTAGACTCACGGTTGCGCAAGTCCGAGAAAAGTTTCCTTCTTATCGCTTTTACCCCGGCATGAATGGACCGATTGAAGAGGAAGGAGAACACGATGAAGAGGAAGGACTAGAAACGGCTTCACAAATGATGGGTGAATGCTCTATCTGTCTGGACGATTTCATCGCCGGACAACGGGTTCGACAGCTTCCGTGTGGCCACGTCTTTCATTCGACCTGTATTGCTAGATGGTTGGTGGAACGAAATGCTGTCTGCCCGCTATGCAAATTAGATGTCTTTGAGGAAGAAGAAGAAGAATCATCTTCGTCGAGCGAAGAAGAAGCAGCAGCAGAAGCCGATCCATTGGTATCGGAAACACCAAGCACACGCGAAGAGGAATTGGCCAATCAAGTGGTTGCTTCGAGTTCAAGATGGTGGCCGTTTTCATCCACGTCACCAGGATCTCCAGCTCCTGGAACTAGATGGGCCATGCGATGGTTATCACAACAGCGAAGGAGAGGGAATGGAGATAGCGACATGCTGACGGAGATGACCAATCCTCTTCTTGCTACCGATCGAAGTGAGGCTGTGGATGTTATAGAATTCCAATCTCCAACCAATGGAAATGCTGAATCATCGGAGGATGCTCAAGCGAATTCAGAAACAGCGGAACAAGAAGAAACTCCTGCGGAATCATCAGAAACACCATCCGAGGCATCGTCATCGAACGAAGACAGCGGCGAAGCGGCATCGACTCCGGTCGAAGTCTAGTAGTTTTAAAAAATAGATTGTGGACACTCCATATATCTTTTGTCCCGTCTGTTTGACTACACCATTGTCATTGTTCATCCAACGAGGCACATATGAAAACCGATCTCCTAGCACTACAACTACAGTATTGTAGAGAACAGTACCAGGGTAGCTTGGGATTACAATCCAAAGAACTCCTGTTTGGGACATACATAGTCCCAAAGGTGGATCAGTCGAACTATTCCACAATCCCATCGTGAAAACCACCTCATCAAATTTCGGAAGTTGGCACCCAATCGCATTGAATTTGAACCTCAACAAGACAGTTTGAATGGCTTCAGCCCTTGTTGTCCTCCACCAACCAAAATCAGTCTTCTCTGATACCTATTAGCATTAGCATTAGCATCCACCTCAATTTCTTTGAGATCTCTCTGTTCTATTCTATTCAACTCCAGCTGTGCCGCGTCCTCTGTTGCCTTCAAAATGCCGAGTGGTCGAATTGCGCAACAAGAGCTGGAGAGCAAAATACTGGATACCTGTACTGCCGGTGGAGTCTTGTGGTTCCTATACACCAACCCGTCTTTCTTTAATCCATGGAATCTAAAAATATGGGAGTGGTGCCTTCTCGCAGTATTGATTCGAATGGCAATCGCATTTTACGATCATTTGGTTACCTTTCTGGTGGATTCCGTCTTCAAGAGTGATCTACTACCCACTCGAACTACTGGAAAGCCTGTCCGATACGTAGAACTCGACACCAAATCCTACGTTTATCTTGGCCTCAACGCGCTGCATGAATGGGTCTTTGTCCAACGCCTGTGTCATTTCATTTGGTTTTCGTCAGAGGTTCCACTTGATCCATCGGAAATCAATTTCATGAATACAGTCGGAGCTCTGTCCGTCATATTTGTTGTCATGGACGCCCTTTATGCTCCGTGTCATCACATTATGCATTTGCCTCGATTATATCCGCTGATCCACAAGCACCATCACAGGCAGCACTTTCCAACAAGGGGATACTTGGATGCTGGAAACGAACATCCTCTAGAACAAGTGGTTGGCATTTCTAGTGTCTGGGCTGGACTTCTGGCGGCCGTTTACGGACCTACTGGAGCTCACGGGGTGGCGCTCTTTATCTTTTTCAACATTCATGCGGCCTTGGCCATGTTGAATCACAGTCCCTACGATGTGGAATTCTACCTTGTACCTGGATTGGTAAAGTACCGTGTTGCCAACCACGAAATGCATCATCGCAAGTTCACAGTGAATTATGCGCAATACTGTATGTGGTACGACCATCTGTTGCAAACATTTGCTCCATACGAAGGACCTAAGAAGGTCACTTAAAAGGCTATAAATTTTGAATATTAGAAATAGTCACGTCTCGGCTCCAAATTCATTGATCTTCAATATTTTACTTTTTGATCGATTCTTACTACTTGACAGTAATGAGGACCACTGCTGGACCCATTCTTGCCTCTAAAGGTTGGAGTTCTGGTTCGTCCTGTGACGAGTCGAGCCACTGGTGCGAGGCGATGTACTTGGCATAGTGCTCAAGGAAGGAATGGAGCTGCCATGCGGTTGGTTCGCTCAACAATATTAGGGTCCCACTCTTCAGTTTCTTGAGAATATCACCAAAAAACTCCTTCCACTTGCCTCGGGTCTCAGTCAGCAAGTAGGATACCATCACCAAGTCCAATCCAGCAAAGTCCACATCATTTTCCCCTAAACTTTTGTTCATCCCTTGACCCAGTGGTAGTCGAACATCCGCACTATGCGAGGATACTTGACTGACAAAGTGTGGTGATATCAGTGGTACCAAAGAATCGACAACAAGGCGCTTCCATTGTGGCATCACATAATCCATGAGCACTATTCGGTCTAGTACCGCTGTACTGGAAGGACCAGAGTTGGCCTTCTCTAGCAGTTGCACGTCTTGTGGATTTTCACCCAGTATGAGAAAGCAAAGGGCTCCGATAACTTCACAGCCAGGGCCACATCCAATGGAGCTAATTTGACGTGTCTTCATCAAGCGATCGAGTAAGGCAGAATACTTTCGGGCTCGATCCAGAGATGTATATGCAAGCATGGCTCGTTCGTTGAACTTTTGTCGAGTATATCCCAAAAGAGCTTGATCATTGTCAAACATAGATTCTGTTTGGGTGCCCTTGGTCATATTCATAAGTAATTCTTGAGCAATTACTGTTTGATCTCGCTTGGTGCTAGCCGGATCTTTGATTTGTAAAATAAGCTGGTTCCATATTCTCCACATCCAACGTCGCCCCTCTTGAATGTGAAGAGGCTCCTGTTCCGGCTGGGCGTATTCAGATTGCTGTAGATTGATTCTCTGAAAACCCGATTGATGCATAATGGATTCAGGATCTTTTGACAAACGATTGTAGTAATCTTCTAGTTCCTTTTCCGCCCTCTCAGCAACGTCCATATCCCCACGACCAGCGGCCTGTTGATACCGAATTTCGTACTTCCTTATTCGTTGTTTTTGCTTCAGTATTTTCTTCAAGTTTCGTTTCGCCAACTTCTCAGCAGGAGTCAGCTCATTATTCGACCGAGCAAAGTAGAGCAGTGGAATATCGCTACCTTTTTGGCGTTTGTTCTCGCCATTTTCTGTAGAGGAGGCTTCTTCCATGTTGAAGAATGTTTGACCGATGCTTTATTGTATGGATGGAATTTTGCCTCAAATGGATGGAATTTTGCCTTTTGCTCAGGTACTGAAAAAGGCTTGTTATTCGAAGAGGAAAAAGCAAAATCAATTTCCCATATTGAATACATTATTGTTGCAGTTGCCGCCATGAGATCTCAACAGGTGCTTCTTTTGTGCCTACACCTCACAGCTTCAGGTGTGAATTCCTTCACTTCCCAAGAATCAGTTGCCATCAAGAATCGAACGCCCTTATACGGAAAAACAAATGACCAAGAGGTTTCGTCATACAGTGATACCGATGCTGCAAGTAAAGGCTTCGTATCTGCACTGACCAATGTATTCAATGCGGCTGCTGGTCCCTCTGAGGACAACAGCATAAGAAAACAAAAGGCTTCGCCAAAGAACGTGGAAGAACTCCAATCTCGGATCCGTGACGACTATGAAATCAACAACTATCTATGGACGGGCAAGTTGGATTTGGACTGTTTTACGGACAGTTGCAGATTCACGGATCCAACATTGACCTTTCAGGGTACCGACAAGTTTAAACAAAATACTGATAGTTTGATTCCCCTGGTCGAAAGGTTTGTCGAGAATTATCAATCTATTCTCTTGGACATTCGACGGACAGATGAATACATTGAAACAAGGTGGAATATGGTGGGTGAATTGAATGGTCTCTTTTGGAAGCCAGAAATAAATGTGATAGGTAGAACGAAGTTCTGGTTCAATCCTAAAGATTATCTGGTTTACTTCTATGACGAAAGTTGGGAAGTACCAGCTTTCCAAGCGTTATTGCAACTTGTCACGCCGGCAAAAACCTTTCCTAACTCTTCTGCACCGAAAGAAGAAACGAAAGAGCAATGACACTTTTCTTTGCAAACAATAAATGAGAAAACACTGTATTCTTGAATGGATTCTTTCTACTAGTTATATGTCTATTTCACCCAGTCTAGGTCTGCCTTGCTCTTTTCGTATTCTTCCCAGGCATCATTGGTAATATCCCACAACATTTTGACCATGAATTCCTGCTCCTTGTTCAAATCTTTTGGCAATTTATCTGGATGCAAAAAGAATCGCAACTTTCGAACAGCCTTCTTGACCTTCTCTTCATCAATGATTCCGACATCACTCAATACACTTTCTCTCGTCACCACCTTCCACTTTCTAAAGTAATCATGCGCTGGCACTCCCAAAGCTGGCGGGAACACAGTTTGAATGGTACTGAGCAATACATCAACAGAACGCAGCATTTGCAATTGTGGAGGTTGCAGAGCCCATTGAATGAGAATATCATGCTTCAACTTGGTAATGGCTGCTTGTCCATCATCGTCAGTCTGATTTGCCATTTTGGCATATTTGGACTGCTGGAAAGAAACGAAGGTCGTGAAGCGTTAGTTGCGGGAGAAATTGAAGCCGAGAGAGAAACCACTGAATGAAACATACCTCTTGTGGTGGATGCTGCTGCGGCGAAGGACCTCGCGGAGGAGCGTGTTGCTGTGGATACTGCTGATGGCGTTGTTGTTGCTGGTGCCACTGCTGTTGTTGCTGCGGTGTCCAGTGTTGTTGCTGTGGGTGCTGTTGATAGTGCTGATGAGGATGATGATGCTGAGACCAACCTTGTGGGTGGTGTTGGGGTTGCTGTCCTCCCCACTGCTGTTGCTTTCGCATATTTTCTTCATGAATACGACGGTGCTCTGCAGCTTGTTGCTCTGCCAAACGTCTGCGCTGCTCTTCTTGCTGTTGTTGGTGTTGCCATGCAGCCTGTTGTTCCATATATCTTCGACGTTGATCTTCGGCTTGTCGAGCCTGTTGTTCCGCCATTCGTCGTCGGCGTTCTTCTTCCGCCGCTCGACGACGATGTTCCTCTTCGGCCCGTCTTCGGTGTTCGTCTTCGGCAGCTCGACGACGGGACTCCTCTTCATGTCGTCTCCAATGTTCTTCCTCCGCAGCTCTCCGACGAGCCTCATCTTCCGCCGCCTGTTTTTGTCTTATTTCTTCCTTCTTGCCAGCTTCGTCTTCAGGTTGGGCGTCGGCACCAGGTCGAGGAGCAACAGGAGGTACTGCTCCTGGTGGTGGTGCAAAGTAGGTACCCCGTTTTTGTACTTCAGCAGCTGCCCGCTCCAGTTCTCCTCTTTCCATACCAACTGTGCTAATTCCAGCTCCATGACAAATAGCTCGCAAGTCTTTGATGCTCATCTTGTGTCCAGTAGCTCCGTTCGAAACAGGAGCTGATGGTTCTGATGATTTAGGTGGCAACGGAGATGCTGATCGAGCAGTACTGGCAGATCCAGTGCTGGCGCCAACAGGAGCAGCGGCAGCAGCAGGAGGAATAGGAGGAACAGCTGCATGTCCTGCGCTAGGAGGAGCAAAGTATGTACCCCGTTTTTGAACTTCGGCAGCAGCACGCTCCAAATTAGCTCTTTCCATACCAACAGTATTGATGCCAGCACCGTGACAAATGGCTCGCAAATCGCGAATGGCCAAACGATTAGGAGTTGGCGAACTAGAACGTTCGGATACATCAGGACCTTTTTTCTCCTCTGGAAAGTCAGGGAATACTGATTCTGTTGGAGCTGTTGGCGGTGGCATAGCCCCATTCTGTTTGGTTTCCATTTCGAATTGCTGCAAAATCGTCACCCAATTCATTGCCGCTGATGGGTCATTGTTACACCGAAAGACAAATTCTTCATGAGAATTGTAGAGTTTCAAACTAAATCGATCGTCCGTGGTATATTCGGAATAAACCACACTTTCCAGCAACTTGACCGGAACTTGATGCAAAGCTTCCAATTCTTTCTTTCCAGTCGTCGGATCCACAGCTTCACGTTGAATCCATAGAGTTGTTTCTTCCCCAGGACGTCTCCCTTGTACCAAACTAGCCAGAACCTCCTTCCAGACTGTTCTCATCTTGGAACGACGCTGTTGTTCAATCCATCCGTTTGCCACGACGGCAGAATTCTTGTTCTTGGGACGCTGGAAAGCAGGCTTGCCGTGTCCATGGTCTGGCATTTCGTATTCGAAGGATTCTGACCTCGGATCAGCGACAAAGACTTCTGATGACGATGCAGTTGACGGAGCCGATGCTGTCGCAGTTGTTGGATGCACTGACGCACTGTTGTTGGTAGCATTGTGGGTTTCGTTGTTGCGCAAGCTTGACGGTTTTTCGTTTTCGGCGTCTGCCGGCTCATCCTCCCGTACACGATCTACGGGATTAGTCGCGGAAGTCGAACGGATTTCCTTGTCATCCAATCCAGTCACAGCTGGTGCCAGTTTCGAACTTCGTTGTGGTGATTGCATAACGGCATCATTACCATCTTCACCACCAACAGCTGCACGTCGCCTGGATGATTCCGCATACTGGGCAACTTCTCCACCAGTCAGATCCGCGAGTTCGGCCTCTCTCTTTTTCTTTCCCGACGATGGAAGATTGACATGAATCTTGGGCAATTTCTTTGGTAGCTTCATCTTGGTTTTTGAAGCAAACATACCAGCGGAAATCTTGCTACCAGTATTCTTTGCCTTCTTTCCAAAGGGCGCGAAATGGTTTTGCTTTGCTTGAGCATCTCGCAAAGAGGCTTCGTTGTCAAAATCTTCCGCACTGCGACCAGAATCCAAAACGGAATCCATTGAGCCCATGCGACCCGATTCGGTATTGATTGGATTTTCCGGAGCCCCAGGTTCTACTGCTGCGGATTCTGGCCCATCAACCTGCAGTTTGGAAGATGACGCTGGTGGATCACTAGTCGACGGTGTCGTTCTTGATTCGGTTCCCTCCTCAGAAATGACTGTGGCACCTGCTGATGTTTCTCTCGCAGAATTGTCAGATTTAGACTGTTCCGCTGGCAACTCCTGCGTCGAAGGATCAGCACTGACAGTTGGAGGAGTTGCTTCACCTGTCGTCTCTGCAGGCTTCGTATTTGCTTCCTTTTGAGCATCAGATGATGACGTGGCTGCGGCGTCTGAAGAATTTTCTCCAGAATCCGCCGGAGCTGTTGCCGCTGCTGCTGGCTTTTTCTTCGCCTTTTCCTTTCGTTTGGGTAGATGCAGTTTGTAGTAGGTTCGGAAATCTTGTAATGCATGATACAGAATGACATCAAATTCCCCCTTTTCCACAATGTCAGCACTTTCTCTTAACATGAATGCTAAAGTCGCATTGTCCACAGATGGTTTGTCATCCTTTTTCTCGTCTACCTTGGAGACTGTGGCTGCTTCAGACATGATTTCGTCTCAGTTCTTCTTTATCGACGGTTGTTGTGGTCAACAAATGACGGATATCGCGAATAAGTCTTCTGTGGTATTTTCAGCACAACTTTGAAACCCTGCCTGAAGATGTCAAATCAGAATTGATCGTCAATCAATATAAAGTTATTCAGCGAACTGCCAATCAAGATGCTGATAGAACAACAAGCTAGGACGACCAAACCAATCAAGCGGAAGCTTCCCGCTTAGGTCAACAATTTTTTGGAGTTGTCGTTACGTTGAATGCAGAAAATCAAATCGTACGAAACCTACCAAGTCTTGGTTGACGTGCTTGGCTCGTGCACAGGTAATGGAGAATGGAGAATGGACAGTCTGCGATTGCATTCCCACAAGACTGCTTCTGCACCAAACATAGGACAGAGGTACGGACCAGCCAGTTGTGACGTACGGACAAAGATTTGAAGTGGAAAGCGATCCGATGATGGGTGGGAACTGAATGCCAATCAACGATAGTCAGAGGCGATATTAAATCATCCATCTGCAAAATCCAACGCATATATACATTACAACCATCATCCTTCTTTTGTCACGGCTGAAAACCTGGAAATATGAAGTTCGTCAACAATCTTGCCCTAGGACTATTCTTGGCTTGTGCTGGACCCTCAGCTGCCTTTGCTCCAGCCACCGTTGCTTCATCCACCAAGGTAAGGGGAGGGAACACACAAATGATGATGCTAGTGTGGAATGATGGTGGTGATGTGTATGGTAGAAGAATTGAAGCCACAGAATAATAAGCTACATGTCGCCATTCATCCCTATTTAGTGGGAAAAAAGTGGTTTCGTATCACAACATCATGTGCACCTGAGACATCCATGGTCATCCTGACACTTACAGTATCTCTTTGCTTTCTTGCAGCAAACTTCAGCTCTTTTCGCTGATGTCAGCATTGGTATCTTTGGAGGTGGTACCGTTGGAGGAGGTATTGTCGAAATCTTGGAGAAGAAAAAGGAATACTTTGAAAAGATGACTGGCAACACCTTGAATGTCAAGAAGATTTGCGTTCGGGATGCCTCGAAACCACGAGACTTCGAGCTTCCTGAGGGATGCAGTGTCACCACCGAATACAGTGATATTTTGGAAGATGACTCCATTGATATGGTTGTCGAAGTCATGGGAGGAACTACCCAAGCTAAGGATGTTGTCTACGACGCTTTGAAGAGTGGAAAGAATGTCGTTACTGCCAACAAGGCCTTGATTGCCGCTTACATGCCCGAAATCGAAAAGCTTTTGGCAGACATCAATGGAAAACGCGAAACTGCTGTTGAATTCCGCTACGAGGCTGCCGTATGTGGAGGAATTCCAATCATTCGATCCCTGCAAAGTGACTTTGTCGGAGACGATGTCCAAACTGTCAGCGGTATCATCAATGGATGCACTAACTTTATGTTGACTGCCATGGACCGTGATGGAAAGTCTTACGATGAGGCTCTTTCGGAGGCTTCTGCTTTGGGATACGCCGAGGAGGACCCTACTTTGGATGTTGGTGGTTTCGATGCCCGCTCGAAGCTTAAGATTTTGATGCGATTGGCTTACGGAGTCGATGTCGAGGAGGATGATATTCCCTGCAGCGGTATCACTGAATTGACTAAACTTGATTTCGAATATGCCAAGATGATGGGAGGAAGTATCAAATTGGTTGGAGTCGCTAGCCAAGTTGATAATGGAGATGTTTCGGCGTTTGTTTCCCCTTGCTATGTTTCGGCCGACGATTCCTTGTTTGCCGTAAATGGAGCCACTAATGCTGTTGAACTCGTCTCCAAGAACCTTGTCTGCACCACTTTGATCGGAGAAGGAGCCGGTCGTTACCCCACCGCCAACAGTTGCATCAACGATATTGTAGCTTTGGCCAAGGGAGACAAAACTCCCCTCCCTTTCAACCCAGCCTCTGAAGACACGAAGTACGAAGGTGACTACTCGTCCGACTTTTACATTCGCCTGAAGTACAAGGACTGCCTCGGAATTACCAGGCAGTGCGGTGAAACTTGCGAAAAGTACGGTGTCTCTATTCACTCCATCTTGCAAAACCCAATCAAACGAAAGGCCGATGCTGCATTTGTCTTGATCACTGAAAAGGTTCCCGTCTCGAAAATCAAGCAAGTTTGCGCAGAAATGGAATCTCTAGAATGGTGCAATGGACCAGCCTTCTACATGCCCGTTCTTGGAGAGAACTGGGCCACTGCCATGGTATAAATGGGTACCGGTACAGTATGAACACTAGCATAATATCATTTGTTAGAACTGAATAAAAACAATGAGTAACCCAACATCCTAGAACAGTACAGACAGAGTTGAAGACCCATTCGTCTACTGGTTACTACTAGATGTTTGTATACAGTTGAAAGCTTTCTTCCTGGATAATATTTTCAGCTTTTGTGTAGCAGGCACAGCTTAATTCAAGTCACTGTCTAGAATGGCTTCAATATGTACCAAGAAGGTGTGCGGGTGTTCGTAATAACTAATTCGTAGTCCATATCGTCTTGAGCTAGGCTTTCGCGTGTGAAATCTTCTCTTGTGTACCGAAGCGTCAATCTGGGATCATTCATTTCAGCCATCCATTCTTGCACAGCCCGGACAACATCGTTTTCATTCGCTGCAGTACCCAGCGGACCGTTTTTTTTCCCTCTCGCAATTCCATACTCTGTATATGGCAAACACTTGGGAACGACGCTACATCCACTGCAAACCAAACTTTGCTCGCCGAAATTACAGTAATCATGGCCGGCCATCATCCCACCGTTTCTAACTTTTGGCCAATAGTAGAACATTTCTTGCTTTACACCAGCGTACGAATGATCACCGTCGAGATAAATGAAGTCATAAGATCGATCTTGAAGCGATTCCACTACATTTTCGTCAAGCGACATCGAAACATACAAAGTATGGTTGACATTACGAAGCAAACCTTCATCATTCCATCGACCCTTACCAGTTTGAGGATCACAACGTTTAATCAGCTCGTTGGTTGGATAAGGTTCAATCATTGTCCAATGCAAACCAGAAATATTCTTCAGTTCCAGCAAAAATGCTCCGAAAAACGACCAGCGGCAACACCAACTTCAATACCCTTTCTGAAGAAACCAAATTTGAAAAGACGAGAAAAATACGCGCGATTCGAATGCTTCTGCATGTATCCAACAATTTGTTCCTGGTCTGTTATCAAGTCTTTGAATCGGTTGGCAGCAACTGAATCCGGAGAAGTCCGCCAAAGCACTAGCGGAGTTTTCTGTGCCAACGTCAAAAGGAAAACAAGACAAAAGATTGTTTGCGTTGCACCATTCCTTTTCTTCCTCACAACGGAGGACATATTTCAACTTTGCAAAACGGAAAATACTATCCATTTTTTCACGGGTTGGTATCGGTACGGTACAGTTCCAATTCCAGTAAGTTTTACAGCGAGCCGCTTTCCTACGAGTTGCGCCGTAATAAACGCACACTAAAAACGTACCTTCCAAGGGCGCATGGTACAAGTTGAAGACCAATTATGACCCAGCCACTTTATATACATACAACTATCTAAGATAGCCTACTGCCGTCCTCCGTGTGTGTGTTCGTAGTATTTTGTACCGGTAGCTGGTGGGTTGTGGTGTGAAGCGGGTCGAACTGATCGAGTATTAGACTCGATTCGTTCGACCAATCTCAGAAATCCCGTGTGCGGTATTACTGAGATCTGCTTTCCTACCAGGCACCGCCGATATGGTAAAATGGAGGCGGTGCCCAACAGGGCGGGTGAGGTTTGGGAGAGAAAAATTGAATTACCGCGACACAAGTGGGTGAATTCAATCTCAGTCGATAAACTGGGCATCATTGCCTGGGCGCATCGACAACAACTTTTGACGGTCGAAGGCCGTTCGGCCTTTGTCCGTCTGTAACACAATGTAGTCAAAGAAATCGAACAGTGTGCCTGCGGTCTACGTTGGACTATCTAAGATAGCCTACTGCCGTCCTCCGTGTGTGTGTTCGTAGTATTTTGTCTTGGTGTGTAGCTGGTGGGTTGTGGTGTGAAGCGGGTCGAACTGATCGAGTAATAGACTCGATTCGTTCGACCAATCTCACTTCAAAAATAGAAGACTGATGTTGGAAGTTGTTAGCTGCACGTCACGCTGGCCGATCGCAATGAATGAGGGCGGCGTGTAAGGAGCTGGAGTTTTTCGTTCGCTTGCAGACAAAGGCTGGGTACCAAGAGAAAAATTGAATTACCACGACACAAGTGGGTGAATTCAATCTCAGTCGATAAACTGGGCATCATTGCCTCGGCGCATCGACAACAACTTTTGACGGTCGAAGGCCGTTCGGCCTTTGTCCGTCTGTAACACAATGTAGTCAAAGAAATCGAACAGTGTGCCTGCGGTCTACGTTGGACTATCTAAGATAGCCTACTGCCGTCCTCCGTGTGTGTGTTCGTAGTATTTTGTCTTGGTGTGTAGCTGGTGGGTTGTGGTGTGAAGCGGGTCGAACTGATCGAGTAATAGACTCGATTCGTTCGACCAATCTCACTTCAAAAATAGAAGACTGATGTTGGAAGTTGTTAGCTGCACGTCACGCTGGCCGATCGCAATGAATGAGGGCGGCGTGTAAGGAGCTGGAGTTTTTCGTTCGCTTGCAGACAAAGGCTGGGTACCAAGAGAAAAATTGAATTACCACGACACAAGTGGGTGAATTCAATCTCAGTCGATAAACTGGGCATCATTGCCTCGGCGCATCGACAACAACTTTTGACGGTCGAAGGCCGTTCGGCCTTTGTCCGTCTGTAACACAATGTAGTCAAAGAAATCGAACAGTGTGCCTGCGGTCTACGTTGGACTATCTAAGATAGCCTACTGCCGTCCTCCGTGTGTGTGTTCGTAGTATTTTGTCTTGGTGTGTAGCTGGTGGGTTGTGGTGTGAAGCGGGTCGAACTGATCGAGTAATAGACTCGATTCGTTCGACCAATCTCACTTCAAAAATAGAAGACTGATGTTGGAAGTTGTTAGCTGCACGTCACGCTGGCCGATCGCAATGAATGAGGGCGGCGTGTAAGGAGCTGGAGTTTTTCGTTCGCTTGCAGACAAAGGCTGGGTACCAAGAGAAAAATTGAATTACCACGACACAAGTGGGTGAATTCAATCTCAGTCGATAAACTGGGCATCATTGCCTCGGCGCATCGACAACAACTTTTGACGGTCGAAGGCCGTTCGGCCTTTGTCCGTCTGTAACACAATGTAGTCAAAGAAATCGAACAGTGTGCCTGCGGTCTACGTTGGACTATCTAAGATAGCCTACTGCCGTCCTCCGTGTGTGTGTTCGTAGTATTTTGTCTTGGTGTGTAGCTGGTGGGTTGTGGTGTGAAGCGGGTCGAACTGATCGAGTAATAGACTCGATTCGTTCGACCAATCTCACTTCAAAAATAGAAGACTGATGTTGGAAGTTGTTAGCTGCACGTCACGCTGGCCGATCGCAATGAATGAGGGCGGCGTGTAAGGAGCTGGAGTTTTTCGTTCGCTTGCAGACAAAGGCTGGGTACCAAGAGAAAAATTGAATTACCACGACACAAGTGGGTGAATTCAATCTCAGTCGATAAACTGGGCATCATTGCCTCGGCGCATCGACAACAACTTTTGACGGTCGAAGGCCGTTCGGCCTTTGTCCGTCTGTAACACAATGTAGTCAAAGAAATCGAACAGTGTGCCTGCGGTCTACGTTGGACTATCTAAGATAGCCTACTGCCGTCCTCCGTGTGTGTGTTCGTAGTATTTTGTCTTGGTGTGTAGCTGGTGGGTTGTGGTGTGAAGCGGGTCGAACTGATCGAGTAATAGACTCGATTCGTTCGACCAATCTCAGAAATCCCGTGTGCGGTATTACTGAGATCTGCTTTCCTACCACAAGGTTGATCTAGGAGTGACCAACCCAACACCACAAGCCACTTTGAGCACTCCAAGAGACAAACAAAAAGAACGCAAAGAACACGAAGAAGGAAGAAAAACGAGACCTATGAAAAAGACATCTTCATCACTCCAGTAATGGCCTTCTGCAACAGATCACCGACGCCTTGGAAGCAGTCACGCAAGTATGTGGGCACAGATGTCGGACTCCAGCGCAATTTAAACGCAATGTCGTCATTACTGGCTCCACCACGTTGAAGGCAAACTGCGGCAGTGATTCGGTTGGAATGAGGCTGGATGAGATGTTTGTTGCGTTGCATGTAGTGATTTTTATCTGGGTAGGCCAGATCCACTGAATGCTGCATCACTTTGCGAACATCAGAGTCGCGTAGAAATCGGTAGGTGCTGCCATTAGTACTGAATACCCCCATTGGTTCAACAGACGGAACCTTCAAAAGGTGGCATCGATGGACTATACTCACTGCAGCATCTATCGGATCAAAAATCGGATGCCGCCTTTCCTTCTTCTGCTCCCTTTTCGTCAAATTCCGAGTCCGTTTTGATGGGAGCCTGCGTCAAAACGTCCTCTTCACACGACAATCCAATGGAATTGGAATGCATGTCGCCGTAAGAGATTCTTTTTCCAGAAGTCGTGCACCTTCTGGAAAAAGTGGGTCTCACGGAGCCCATTTTGCACTTGGTGTCAGTGCTTTGAACCAAGCAGAGGGCCCAAGAACGCCCTTCTCTTGGTACAATTTTACAAACTTGACCACTGGGGCCCAATTTGCTTCAGCATAAGCTGGCGCATGCCATCGAGGATCTGCAAGATCAACATGAAGACGATCCCGTCCCACGCCTTTAGATTTTGCAAAGCCGCGGGACTGACAAATCCCTGTTCCGTTGTCACACGAGCAAGACCCTTCAAACGCAGCACGAAAACAAATTGGGTGTCTCAGCGTACCTTGTGGATTCAGGAGAAGTGGAGAGTCACCTCGAACTAATTTCTTCATCAAAACAGCTTCATATACGGACTGTCCAGCTTCCACCGGGAGCAAAGATTTAAACAAAGGCTTCTTGGCTGTAAACGGTACAGTGTGTTCAGGTTGTGGTGGTCCAGGTGGTGGGCCTGCAGGAGGTAGGTCCAATCGTTGTCGTTTTGCAAGAGGCGGCTGTACCCCATCAGAGACACCCTGTCAAAAAGGATCTGGACCCCTAGGAGGTAGGACAGGAGGGATGGCAGTGCCAAAGAAACTCGAAGAAAAACTATGACTCCAAGTATGGCCGTTCACATCCAACTCAGCGGGATCCCACTTCCTTTCCACGCGTTCATAAAGCAGCTGGAACTTGTCCAAATAGCAAAGAGGTTTTTTGGTGAATTCATGGCGTCCCACCATAGTTGGAGCCACCACAAAAGCGCCAGCCACAATAT